ATTTTCTTGTCTGCTTTCGGTAAGTTGTTGGATAGAGAAAGGGGTGGAAAGGGGATACCTTGTTCTATCCATAGATCGATCTCGTCTCCTCAGCTACATATACGTATGTGCATGCAGATCATTCAGCCTTCTTTGCTGTGTCAGTAAATTCTACTTAACTTTCGTCAAGAAGAAAATGTTATGCAATGCATGGAGTGGAGTAGTTGATGATGAGACGGCTTTTTTATTCTTTTTTATGCTTATTTGAACAAGTTTGGCTAGAAGTTGAGTCAGTTGGTCAGGCAGACAGGAAACATATTCTCTGCTCCAGCCATTCCATTCTCATGTTTTGCTTACTCCTTAAATTTTTCGGATTAAAATAATTGATGCTGACGTCAAGCGAAACGCCAAGTTGTCGACGTATGAAGTGAAAATAAATGGTAAAGGGTTTAAATTATTTCAATAATGTTTAAATCATTTCTTTTTGGAATATTGTCCGACACTGAGAATAGAATAGCGAAGGGAAGTAGTTTAATAAAACATGTCGGAAGGAGCAGCGGATCGATGACCTGTGAATATTTGGCAAACTCTTTAAAAAAGCATATATAATATGTATAAAAGGTGGTCCAGATCTTTCCCATTTTTATAAAGTATGTCATCATCTTTATTGTAATTCAAGTGTTCTAGTTGTCGAGTGGAAGGTGAAGACTTTTGAAAATGGGACGGAACGTGGCCCTCAAAGTCACATTTCACTCTCTGAATGGGTGTGCAAGTCCTGAAAATTGACTGAGCATATTTTGGCCATGAGAAATATTGTACGTTCAAATGTAGGTTGAATATTTCAAAATTCTTTGCGTTGGTACACCCTTCATCGGACCTTACGTAGCCATATGCCAGCAGAGATAGAGACTTCATTTTTATGGCTCAAGAACTATGATGAGTTACTATTTTTGAGGCCAGTGTGTGACGCTGTCGGTTGTGGTATATTTGGCACGATTTTGAGCAGTTAGCAAATTATCTGTAAAAATGGATTGAGACGTAAGTACTCGAGTGGAACTTTTTCGCTTGACTCGGCTGTTGACACAGGGATCAGATTTGCTGCTGTGCTTAAATATATACAACTTTTACTTCATGACCGTTGGAACACAGCCATTTGGTGTTTCTCACAATTTAGTTCGTATAATCCCAAGAAATATGTCTGCTCTCAAACAAACTTGTCCACGTCAGCTGGTATTTTATCAAGTCTGGGGAAAGTAGAAAACTTGAGTTGATGTGAATCGGCGGAGCAGAGAGGAAAATGGAGACTTAAAGGGCAGAAGTGGACATCATTTTGCTCAGACAATTAATGGCACTTCTATTCTATTCATTGGACCAGCAGTGATGAAAGTAGCATCAGGGTGGGTATTGCAGAACAAAGGCTTGTTGTTTCGAGGAAAGGGGGAGAACATGTACAAGACGGATGAAGTGAGTGAAAGCACTCCTCTGCGAGTCGGAGAATTGGCTTTCACGATGTTCTTCCTGCTGCCTCACTTGATAAGCAAGTACAAGAGCAAAGGCTGGTGGGTATGGGTGCACGTGTCGTGTTGTCGTGCCCTACATATGTATGCTGCTCTTCTATAGTCAAATAGTGGCATTTTCTTATCTCGTCAATTCAAGAATCTCAGCGAGTCCATCATCAGGGCATTTCAAATGCTGGTAGGCTTGGAGAAAAGTGAATATTCCTCCTCTCAGAAAGAGGAAACTGCTGGTGAAAGTGCAACATGGCCAATTTCTCTTTCTCCCTCGTGCTTTCCTCGCCCTGGCATTTCTCCCATGAAGCGCATGCACATCTGATATAAATGAATAAAACACAAGAGAAGTTGGCAACGCGGAGAGAGAATCCTCTGGAAAAACTTTTTAAAATATTTCTACGGTCAGTTCGGCCGATTCGGAGGACGAGGAGATAGGAGAAAGTTTTGAGAATAAATTGCCCAGAGGCGAGTTCACCAGGCCACGCGGCAGTATTCATTGCCACCGCCACACCATTTGTTGCAACTATACACACACAAAGTCGGAATTTAATAAATATGGAATGGCGGTTGCTTACGCTAGCCAGAACCCCTCTCCTAATCCCAATGCTGCCAATAAATACAGAGTTTTGGTCTGACATACCAATATATTTGTATTTATACGATGTCTAGTTGCACCTCTAGATTTGTAATTTTTTACAGGAAATGATCCTGGTTAAAAAAGTTGGGTGAGAGGGCTAGAAAGTGGGTTAATAGTTGAAATGACATTCTAGCAACTTATTCCAGCTCATTCCTCGACCATGTCCGCACTTGGAACAAATTTCTACAAATGATCCCAACTAACCCAGAACGTGATAAAAAGAGAGAAAAGTAAACTGATTGAGAAACACTTGCCCATTTGCGGTTTTAGCGTGTGGGCTGGCCAACAGGAGCCAGTCTTGCGGCTGATGTTAATGATTCAGATAAATTGGTGGCTGTTTGGATGGAGGAGGGCGGATTGAGAGTGAGAAATGTGTTGGGTTGGGTGGTGGTAAGTGATCCTGCAAGACTTTCTCCGTGTCCGTCCTCGGCTCGTTAGGAGGATTGGGTTCGAGTTGCTCCTAAAATTTCACTTTGCACAACATCGCCACTTGGCCAATTGGTCTTATTGCACAATACTCCCACTTACGTCCAGGCGGTGGAGTTGGACCCTGGATTTCATTTCACTCATTTACTCGTGCTCACTCGTACTTCGCTTGGCGTGAATGGAATGTAAAATGAAAAAAAGCCTAAGAAATGCAATTAAATAGTGTGTTTCGAGGTTGCATTTTGACTCGGTTTGAGACCAGAAAATTTGTCACACGTTAGTTTCTCTTCTTGATTTAAAATGGATCAAATAACCTCGAATTTTTCAAACTTTACTTGCATAATATGTATGAATGAAGTATGGTGTTCCTTGTTTTCTATGCAAATACATACAGCCGCATTGGAACATTCAAATTCCATTTTTTTGCATGTGTACGAATATGTTTGCAAAATACATATATTGATTTTTTAACTGTAATATCTAACTGGAGGTCCATATTTCTTTCTTTTCGTTACATATTTACATCCACTGCAAATGCTACCGTCAACCGTGAAATATATTTTTAAAAATATATTCCACTTAAACATATTTTGTTGGACTAACAAAAGTACTCAGAGACTCAGACATCCCACCACGGGAATCTATAGACTTAAAGATCGTTCTCGAAAATCCCTGGCTCGAACTGAATTTAAGTTGTTTCAATTAAAATTAATCTCATTGTTGTAATAATTCGAGATAACCCAGCTCACTCGACTCCATTATGCATACTTTGGGATAATTCAACCAAATGTGTGGTTCAACACCAGCCTGTGTTGATTGGTGTGGTCGATTGGTTGGTCGCAGATGCAACAAAAGGTTCACAATATCCGGTAGTGAAATGACTACCCCTCATCTCCTTCCTGATGATGAGGAGATGATCATCTAATCTCATTTGTCATTTGTGGACTTGGTGCATGGAGCATAACTATTTTGTGCTTTAAGCCTAGTCTGAAATTTGCGGGTACGCGTACTACTTATAATTTCGGCTGGCTCATGGTGTTGGGTGAACATGAAGTGTGTGTGTGTGCGTGTGTGAAAGAGGAGAAATATAATTACTGGAGATGAGGCAGCAGCAGATGGCCGCATATAAATTTAAACATTGTTTTCACTTGGGTGAATGTTTTTACATGAAGACCATCATCATCCACGTGCTACTTGTGCAAATGCGAAATTCACTTTCGCTCGTTCTTTCATGGTTCCTGCGTACTTATTTTGCATAATGTTCATGCTTTGTTGAGTCATTATTTGTCCCATGTTCGCTAATCAGCGCCAGCCTTATACATAGCTTTTGGTGATTAGAAGATTTTCCATTCTGTGTGAAACTATCTTCATAATGGGTTATGCAAATTACGTGGTGGAGGAATAGATCGGTTAATTGATTCCAGAAATGAAAGTGAAATGAAAATGCAAGGGTTTTCACCACTTGCATATTTTCAGTATATTTTCTAATTTAAATTAAATTGGGATTATGGTTGGTTTAGTCTGGTCATCCCGGTTAGTGGTTGTGCTTGTCAAGATTGGGATTATCTCCCCCGTACGCGGATACAAATTTAAATTAAGGAACTTGATTATCTCGTGGAATATGCAGTCGAGGAGTGTCTTGTATTTAGTCTTGTATATAATTCACGGTGTATCTAGAAGAAGACACTCTTGACATGGTGCATAATTTTAAGAATTGCTTGCACATAAATATTTAATGGCTTCGTTTTTGCCTGGGCTGATTTGATTTGACTTGCGAGTGAGTAATGCAGTTACCTCTTCAGAGTTGGTTCTTTCGTGGAGATTTACGGCTTTCGCCCAATGTGATTGTATTTGTGCTTTAAACGCATTTTCGAGACTGGTTTGCTGTCTGAAATGGTGAATATCCCATATTTCGTGAGCTAGGGAGCTATGACTGACAAGACAAAGTTGTTTATTGACTCGTTCCATTTTTTACCCTCAAAGATAAGCTTCCATTTATTGTAAGTAAATGGAGTTATGCTTTTAGCCTTATTCTTCTTCTTTCGCCTACAAGTTTGCTTTCTTTTCTGTGTAAATTGCTTTCTGCTCACTTCCACTTGATGGCACACCAAACGTCAAAAGCCTCGAGATTTCTTCAGCAGGTCAATAAATTATTGCTATCATCATCTCTGTAAACAGACAGTAGTGGTGGTGGTAATGCTAAATTGTGCTGCATTTGTATAATGGCTTAGAAAATGGGGATGGGAATTTCGCTATGGGACGCAAGAGACCCAAAAGTTGGCAGAGTTTTAGACATAATGCTCCTACTTTTTACCCATAATACATAAAAGTAGAGAGAAAAGTATGCACGGTACAAGCCAGACGAAGGAGAGAAGACGAAAATGTTTATGTTTCTTACAGAGTAAGAAAAGCACCCCACTGACGAAATTTTGATTTGTTTGTTACAGCTGTCATCCAAAATAGACCAAGATTTGTTTTTGGAGGATGAAGGTTCGGGAGTGGGGTCGAGAGGGATGGACGACCTGGAAATATCCGGTTCGGGGAATGGTGACGATGATGAGGATACGACCGTAAAGTTACCTCCCCCGCCAAAAACCACACCCAAGAGCGCCGTCGGCCCCATCGACATCACAGAAACGGGGAAAGCAGATGTGGGAGGAGACGACATCAACTTTCCGACAGGCGAGGGAACAAACATTTTCAATCACAAGGAGGACACTCCTGCCTCCTTCTTCTCTCAGCCTGGTATTCTGGCAGGTAAGAAGCAAGCAGTGATATTCTTAATGCATTATTGTAATTATGCTAATTTCACGACAAAGTTGGCAAATTTCCGAGTTTTGTATCAATCGTCGGAAACTTTCACCGAAAATATTATTATTATTATTATTCCTCTCTTTTATTTTACGTTCTATGCAGTCAAGTAGAAAATGCTCAGCTTTTTTGGGGAACAATAGGTTTCGTAAGGAGAAGTTTGTGAGAATGGAAAATTAAATACGGAGCACAGTTGAGTGAATGATGGTCAAAGAATGGAGAAAGTGGGATTAAGTAGATGTGGATAATAAATCGATAAGGCCAAGTGTTTCTATTCTGTCCATGTCTCAAGAATTATCAAGTTCCGTAACGACGAGGACAATGGAAAGAGAAAGCTTTTACTCCATCCTCGTCGTTGTGTTTCCTTTATGAGTTGGATAACTGATATTTCAGCGAAGGGAATTTGGATTTGCTCCGAGACTCGCCTTATTTATTTCTTCCATTCCACCTTTGCAAAGTTAGTTTCGAGATTATTTCTTCCCCTTGAGCGAATTTAAGACAATAAGTTCATACCTACTTACAGTTCCAGTGAAAGTTATATCATACATGCATACATCGTATATCTATAAATAAATATACGCCAGCTTTGTATTGATTGTTTGCACTTCAGAGTTGGAGTTTATGTTACTAATTGGGAATAATTACCATGCTTGAAATCGGATGAAATCAATAGAAACATGCTTGCTAATCACAAGTTTCAGGAATTGTAGGATTTAGGCAGAATTTGTTTAACCATGCAACTGTCATACGCAGAAAAGTATATGACCTACATACATAGATTTGACGTTCATGCCCTATTTTCAACGTTTGGTTGCTATCCTTGGTGTTTCAAACCATGTAGCTGCTGGCAAGTATAAAACTTGTGCGTAGGTGGCCACCAAATGTTGTTTAGCTTCAAACTCATAATATTTTGCAGAAAACTTTGCAGGTGCTTGTCATCTTTCAATTTTGTTGGCTTTCTGTCCTCTAAATTAAACGAATCACCCATAATAAATTTTACTTCTCGTTGACATTTGGCTTTAGGAAAATGTTGCATTTTTTTGCAAATCTAGTGAATCATGAGGTTGACAAATTTTATGGTACTTAAAATCTTAGTGTTCAAATGCATGCAGGTGAATTTTATTGAAATTTATTTTCTTGCGAATTTGTCCCTCTCAGATTACCATTATATTGCAATTAGATAAACGAGGGTTGTGTGAGTGCGAATTTTGTTGATGGCTTTAATTACTACGCTTGATTTATTAAACCACCCCTTTTCACCATCCTCATAATGCCATCTCCCCGGTCCTGCGATAATGCAGGCTGTGTTCTTGTAGCTTTACATATATGGTATGGATTGCGAATTTAATGTTAATTTATCTTTTTTGCAGCCATCATATGTGGGGCCATTGTGGGTCTTTTGTGTGCGATCCTGCTCGTCATGTTCGGTGTGTGAAAGATACATGCAATTCTGGGAATACATACGTATCACCAAACAAATCGGAATTATTAACTGGGCGTATTAAATAACTTTGAATTCATGTTTGTTTGGTGAGATCGGTTGCATTTCCATGATGCGAATTAATTTGCTAGATGATAGCTTAACATGAGTCACTTTTTTCCAATACAGTCGTGTACAGAATGCGGAAAAAGGATGAAGGCCAGACATTTTAGCTTAATACCTTCGCAGACCAATATGACGATGACTGGTAAGGGTCGTTTGCATACCTGCACAAAATATGGTCATTGAAAGATATTTTAAATGGGGATCTACAAAAATGTATGTGGTTCGTAACATGGTGGTGGGTGTAACACCTCCTAACTTTGCGAGAGCTGTTTTAATATATTAATTTTTATGATATTTTATTCTTAATCATCTCAATTATTAAAATGCATGCATGAAAAGTACGTGTGATACGGCATCATCGTGAGACACTTCGGAGTATGTAGCTAAAAAGGGGTCCATTTGAAATAGTTTTTCTCGTTCGAAGGGGTTTTATTGCATATTTGATAAAAACCTTTGTAATCAGATCTTGAAAACATCTTTGTGATCGAAATCGAAGGTTTTTTTATTAAATCATTAAAAAAATAGGTCAAATATCCTTTTACTAAAATAATCAAAATCTGTATACCGATAACTCCATTTTAGAATAGCCACACCCACTATTTCATGCATATGAATAATTTAGATGATACTAAAAAAAATTCGCCATATTTCAAATATTAGCAGCCGCCATGTTTAGAATATCGTTAAATTGCCATATATTTTTTGCAAGTATTGAATTTATGAACCGCCCTTACCGGGGTTCCTAAACCCCTAATTAGACACACTGTTTTTTTAGTTAAAATTAATTAGTCTAAAGATTTGGAAAATCAAGTCAAACAATTTTTAATCAGTGAGTGCAAAAACATTCATGTTATGCATTATATTATGTTTTACTCGGAACGTCTTTAAGAAAAATCCCACTATGTACATCTGTATAAATGATGCGTTGTCTTAATTTTGGAACAAAGACAAAAGACACAATTGTGCTCTGATCAGGGTTGTAGGAACCTCACCAGTTTCTCTTCCTCCGTGGTCGGGAAGGTATTAAGCTAACTGAAAATATCTGTGATGAAGGCTCGTACGTGCTAGACGACTCGAAACGGACCACCCCCTCGTACGGGAAGTCCAAGGAGTTCTTCGCATAGCAACTACCTACTCCTCTTAATCTTACAAACACTACCAACCTGTCTCTGGAACTGATGTAAATTATTGTCAATTGTCATCCTTCTTCTCCTGCGCCATTCGACAGGTCATCTTCTTTTATTCAACTGATTCAGAAGAGATATTTATTACCGTTTACTCATCGTCGTCGTCATCATCATCATCGTATTAAATATATACTTACGGATCATCGCTAGTTAACTAGTTCGTCACTGATGTTAAGTTTACACTAATTTTCATTCGATACCAACCGTTTAGTTCTAATTACAAGCCAGTCTCAGTCCAGAATGACCTACATACACAAATCAACAAGCGAATGCCATGATTATATACATACATATTTACATATATTATACCGTTATTACTAATTGGAAGGTTATCTACGATAAATAGATGAAACGTTACGATATTTTGTTAAGCATTTATTATTTTATAAATTTGATTATAAATTGAGCAATGGCAGCAGATATTCATTGAGTTTGAACTTGTTAATTTTGTATCGACGAAGAGTCCAGAAATCAATCCAATGTTGTAAGATCAAGAGGCGAGATATACGGAATTTCATCTCTGTTAAAGTACCTTAGTTTTGATGGAGAAAGTTGTATCTAACTTATCACTAGATTCCTTAGAGTACCATCTGCGGTTTGTATTTACCAAACTCAATCTATATAAATCCCGAAAATTGTGAACATCCATTGTAGAAGAATTTTCCACCATGAAATAACCTAAGCTTCCAGGAACAGCAGCAGCTAAAAATACGCCCTACTCTTGATATTCATTATACCTTCACCTTGACAGTATATGTAAACTCTAATCATGACCCACATACCTAGTTTTGTACAATAAATTAAATCAATTTGACTACTGTCCATCCTCTCGTCGTCGTGCATGTTTTTGTTCAGAATTCAATAATATGGCATAGCTGCTTTTACCCTAAAATTACCCACTTCCCACTAAATTATATCTTTAAAACTATTGATCGTCAGTTCAACATATGGTGTTGATCACATATGAGCGATAATGTTATCCACCATAGTTAAGAAAATGTTCAAAGTCAGTCCTAAATCTACATTTTATACGTCTTGAACAAGCCACTTCGCTAGCAATCAGTGTTACATATGATACGATTGTTTGGAATATGCCATTATATCCGTACATGTACCTATAAATTAACAAATGACTCCAGCTTTTGTTCCGTTCTACTTAATTAGACGTATTTATAAGAAACCCATCATGCATGGTTTTTTAATACCAACTTAGCAATAGTCTTGTTCGGGTATTACACATTTGATGAGATACATAAGGCACCCGGAACTGGATAATGTGTGTGAACGAATAAGATGATTCATGGCAATTAATTAACCAACTTTTGCTAATAAGACGGACGCTTAAGGGGCGAAGGTGGTGGGATGAACATGGATGAAATATTAAAAAGTGTAATAAGAAAATAATTCCACTGACCACGATTACTGCTACTTATTGTTATTGCTGCTATTCAACATTCAATTGTTGCATTTAAATTGACACAATTTTGATTTCAGACTGGAATATTATTATTATTAACCTTTGACAAACCCACTAAATATTTGACATTACATACATGTAGCGAGTTGTGTGTATGTTGCTGGGTCAGAAGCAGGATGCAGAAACAATTAAACGTGTAGTTTTGATCCTCGTGGAAATTATTAAGTGCAGCTATTAACGCTTGCCCTTGAAAGTCATCACTGCAATTATTGCTGTATTGGAGTGAATTTGAGTGAACGGATGAGATTCGAATTGCGTGTAATGTCGTGTGTCTGTGTTTGGGTAAATAAGTTCATCATCAAAAATATGATGAATGCGTCGTTGTCGCCGTGATCGTTGATCGTGTTTAGTTTTGATATATAAAAACTTCTTGTACCCGTCGTACGTACTACATAAATAAATACATACATATGTGAAGCAATGTTGTAATGCTATTTACATGAAATGTAATGATGCGAATGCATACATAGTATAATAAGATATAAAATGGATGTTAGGTGTATGAAATATGGTTACAAATAGAACATAATAATCAATAATCGCAAAGCTAAAGTAATTCAGATTGAATAGTAGTTCAAATTTGATTCCGATACAAAGTAAAATTAATAAAATAAGGATTGATAAAAAATATGAAAAATAATGTGTTCAAGCATGAATTATTTTTTCTACATACGTTTGCATTTGGTAATCATTAAAATTTGCATATCTGAAACGTTGAAATTATCATAATCCAAAACCTCAGATGATAGAAACAAAAATTTAAAATAAAAGCGCAGTATGCATGGGCAATGATCATTGGTCATATTAATCAAAATCAGTAATTGGTAGGTATTGATGGTAATAAACGTCCAAGAAAAAATCATATTATTCTTAATCAGAATTGCATACACATGCCAGTGACATTGATATTAATTTATTATCAAGCTGTATACGTATATGTATATACTGCCTGCTGCTCACATGCGTAATAATTATGCCTTTTAGGTGTATGCAAATCAGATGCAAACATGGCATACGTAATCCTCAGTCAGATTCCTAAATTCACTACATAAAAAGTTATTCGCGACACTGGCCACAAGGGGGACGTTGACTTTATGAGCAATGATTGCAACCATAAAAAATGGCTGGCATATTCTTGAACATCGTTTCCACGTGTCACTCCCATTCATCATCAAAGCAAAATCTCAGGGGACTTTTGAAATACACATTCTACAAGCGTCGTGGTAAGTGCTTTCATATTTCAATTTTTGCAAGTGAGACTTTCATCCAAGCCGCTCATGCAGGCTCCTTTGTAACATTAATTATTCTAATGATATGACATTACGCTTTCCGCATTTCATGAGGATTTAATTTTATTTCCTCGACGGTGATTTCATTAGAATGTTCTCCAGATGGAGAGACGAGGGAGACCATGAGACCGGAAACACTCTCAAATTACCGAGAAAGCAGTGAACGGGAGAAATCGAGTCGAGTTGACAATTAAATATATTCACTTCCACAACGCCCAACCCTCCAATTATCGCTCCGTTGTTGTGCCCCTTCTCCGGCTCCCCCTCAAGATTTCGTTAAATAAGTACGACTCAATTAGTTGAGCATATGAAGTTACTCCGCCTATAAATTCCCACCGATAATTAATAACGGAGAGGCTGGTTAAATTGTAAGAAAATGTGTATGGCTTACAAGAAAGATGAGTAATACGTATTTATTTGTCACACTTGTTTGGAAGTGTTGAGCAACTTTTGTACATAATAAATAATAGAGTAAAGTTGAGAAAGAAGTTTGACCGGATGTACGGTTGTAATCCGCAAATGATAAAGAATTTGTCTAAAACCCTAAACCCAGCAGCAGTAACATTATTGTAAGATTTATCTCATAACAAAATGTGCACTTTCTTGCATACTGGTTGCACTTTGATACTTGACAAAATATTAAAATATTGCAAAAACTTGCAAAAAGTTTGTCGTGTTGTTGCTTTAATCGATGCAGTAAGTTTACACATACATATTCAACCAGTTTACGTAATTTTCATAATAAAATAATGAGATACTCTGAGTTTATAGCTTCTGGGGCTCATAATTTTGGTGATACTACTGATCCGCAGGCTGAGGTCGGTCTCCGCCGAATATACAGGTAGGCCTTAATTTGTATAATTCTATTGTGCAACGCTGTAATATTCGCACTCACAAAATGCGTCACTAATGAATTTGTTCTACACAGAATCAACCGTGCATAATTTGCTTGTTCTTGGATTACAAGCATTTGAAATAGCGTCAGCTATTGTTCTCTACGAAGGGGTCCGGAGGGTATATCCTATTATTTGTTAAATTTATATGACTATAAATTTATATATGTGCATATATTCGTATACTGTTTTGCAGGACGTAGTTTGTATGATTAAGCTCTGGTTTCTCTACTGTGTGGCAAGATTTGTGGTTTTGACCTCGACAATCTATCCAAATCTTGTGTCCAGCTCGAGATCAAAACTTCGGATATGGATTTACGGATTTGAGGTTGCTTTCACTACGTTTCACATTGTTCAGTGTATTTGTCTACTTACGTTGCGCCATCAATCCAAGTCGCCTGCTCTCCACGATGATAATATCAGCAAAAGAGCTGTTTCCCCTACTTTCAGTTTCGGTGCAGGAGAAAGTGTCAGTGAGGTTCCGCTTGATAATGTATCAGAAGTAGTTGCTGCAGAATGTAAGGGAAAGTTGGGCACCATCTCAGAGATTACGGTCTAAATAATTGTATACTTAAAAATATATAGCAATGCGTATGTGCGTGCAGTTATAAGGTATTTCGAATAATTTATTAATTTGTCACAAGACATATACGCAGTTAGTTTACAATAAAAGTAAATTAGAACAAATTAGTGGGTCTCATTAGCCCATTAAGTAAATAAAAGCAAGCATGCCCTCCAAGTTGCAATTTTCATTGTTTAAAAGGAGTTCAGATTTGTTTGGTGACCCAAATAAAGGTAAAAGTTTGTGTGCATTATTTCTGGTTGGGAGCCTGGAGCAGTTTCAAAATTTCCTTTGCTTTCTCCAAGGTCTCAGTCTTCTTATAAAAGTTGAAACGAATGTAATTTCTTGCGAAATGTTTATGTTCTGCAGAATAGAAGGCAGATGGAGGTATCCCCAAGAGCTGTTTTTTCTTTGCCAACCATTTTACGAATCTTATATCTTCGCATTGATCCGTCTCACTCTCGAGGTCGACTGTTGACTCTATGGGACAAAGGAAAGAAAACACAAGTTGAGATAAGAAAAGCGTGGGTACGACATGGACCACCGGCCAACCTTCTTGCAAAATAATAATGAATAGATCGAACCGAGAAATTTGTCTACGCTAACAAGAGAATAATGACTTATTTGTTGGCGACATGGGGAACGTTGAGGTCGTGGTACGGTGACATCGCATGCAGTGAAAGTTGGTTGACAATGAAATAGATTATGCAGTAGTGACAAGCCTGGGTGCCTGGAGGAGGGCTGAGTATGCACACACAGAACTATGCATGAATGAGCACTATGTTAATAGGCACGAGTCTTGGTCTGCCACGAATTCACTTCAGGATTTACTAGGAACTGTTTGCTCCTGAATTTTACATATAATGGAAAATATCCATGAAAAGATTGAACCAGAGGTGAGATGGGTCAAGGTTTTTGAAAACCCGACCCGCCCAAGCCCGACTTTCCTGGGTGCTAAAAAAACCCGACCCAACCCAACCCGACAGTTTGCAGTTCGACCCAACCCAACCCAACCCAAGTTTAGCATTTGTTTGCCCAACCCGCCCAAGCCCGACTAAACCAGAACAAAAAATGACCCAACCCAACCCAACCCAACTCCGTCTCATTTCGCCCCAATATTTTACAAAAGAGGGCAACAGCAAATGAGAATTTCAAATGTTTATTTACCTTCAATAATATTTAATTTGCTTGCTCAAAAACTGTGTTCATGATTTTGAGCAAATTTCTTCAAGCATTTTGTAGTTTTGTTGTAAAGTTAAAAAAAAGAAGTAGTAATACATAGAAGGAAACATCAACGTGCTGGAATTGTGGTTATCGAAAGTAGAATATCCGAACTGCCGACGTCGACAGAAACATTAAAAGATAAATCCAGTTAGATTTCTGATTTTGGCACCGAAATGATTTGCAAAAAAAAGAAATGTATTGCGTTCTGCACGCACATGGGTAAAGACAACACTAGTGCCCCATATGGAGAGAATGTGAAACTAAAATGCCAAACCCAATCCTCAACCCAACCCAACCCATACTTTTCTACCAAAATGCCCAACCCGCCCAAGCCCGGCTTGAACTATTAGGCCCGAACCCAACCCGCCCGACTCCTTAATTTTTTTGCCCAACCCGCCCAAACCCGTATGGGTTGGGTCGGGTTGAACCCGACTGAGTCGGGCGCCCATCTCACCTCTGGATTGAACCGCAGGTTGGATTTCCCACACAATAGGACGTCTTCTATTCATTTCATTGCCCAACATGTTCGGTCCTCCGACGTGGTTAACGTTAACGAGAAATTGCAAACGTTTCTTTTATATGAACAAAATATTATTGAATTTTAGTTGTTTGCATTTTCAGGAAAAGTGAACTGCAAAAAACTCATATGAGACAGAAATGTAATTGTATATTTATTGGTTTGTGCAACCATGTGGAAAATTGCGTAACCCGGTTGTACATAAATATGTATACCTGTTATGCATTGCTATGCAAAAACACTACTTAGCATGTACATCCAATGGGCATATGATTTAATATTTGCGTATTTGAGTACTCATATAGTTTGAATGTACCTATTGGGGTCCAGTCGACGAGGATGAAGTATCCCCCTTGCGGCACCACGGGGACCATTCCAGCGTCTCGAATTGCTTTTACCATCTCATCCCGCTTGCCGACCAATTCCTTTGTCAATTTCTGAAAGTGAGACTGCTCGGTCCCAAGACGTCCTATCTCAACTTCTAGTGCAGCAGCTACGGCCTCTTGTTCTGGAGTTTGACACATGTAGGTACAGTTTTGATGGGCAATTTGCAAATTCCGTATTAGGTGATGGGGACCATACGCCCAACCTAGTTTCCATCCCGTTAAGCTGAAATAATAATATTCGCAATATGGAGAAAAGCCATGGCCAGCTCATTCAAAATTGAGGCACTTCAATTTTGAATTTTAGCAATTTTGATACGAGCTTGACGAAGCAGTTATTTTGAAAGGTGTTAATGCAAAATTAATTGCGTTGGACCAAAAATTCACTTCTCTCTTCTTAATATAGTAATCCATTGTTTAACGAGAAATTAAATTACCTAAAGGTCTTTCCTGCTGAGCCAATGGTCACAGTTCGCTCCCACATGCCAGGCAGAGATGCAATTCGAATATGTGAATTATGGTCATAAACGAGCCACTCATAAACTTCGTCCGAAATTACAAGCACATTGAATTTCTTGCAGAGATCTGCGATAGCCTGTGTAAAAAAGGATTGTTAATGGAATATAAAAATGTGAAATGATGGAATGAAAATTCAGAGATTAAATCCGGAAAATGAATTATAAATCTTAGTTTTAATGACGAGAAAAGAGAACGACCACCTCATTAAGAAACCTGAAGCTAATTAAGAAATATGATATATTCCAGAAATGAGTAAATAACATGATCATTCATATTTCATGAGCATCTTGTTTCTTTGCTCATTTCCAACTAAAGCATATGCAAATAGGGCACAGGATATGTCCAGTGAAGATGGTGGATTAGAGCAGTTTACAAAATTTGATACGGTAATAAATTTAGTGGTCATCTCATCAACAACGTGTGCAGATTATTTCCTTTGCCTGATGACTATTAATATTTCCAAATGGCTGCATTAAGTATATCCGATGGGTCTCAGGATTGTTCATATACATAAACTACATGTAGGTATTAGATACATAACATAGTAATTGCTAACTTCATCTTCTTGCATCGTTGTATCCAGAAAAATTGGCCAACCTTCAAAATTTTTGGTTTCGATCTGCGAACTCTGCTAGTCATACTTTGTTTTCTATTTCACTATTATCACGAACGAACGAACGATTGTAACCCATGTTAATTCCTTTTCCATCAGAGAATTCAATTCGAACTGAACGACCCCTATCGCTTTAATACGATATAGGACGTTTCCTAACTCTTATTTTCAAACATCACCGTCCGTAACGGCCGACCTTACCCTCGTCGGTCCCTTGGTCCATTATATAAATTATTAACGATATGCTCGCATTGTATCGTTACCAATTGACTGCATACTTAACTTCATGGACTTACCGTTAGTTCTTCTCTACTGAACATTTTGCCCAATGGGTTATTGGGCGTGTTGAGGATGATGGCTTTCGTCTTTGAGTTGAACAATTTCCCTAGTTCATCCATGTCAAGGCACCAGGATGCCGACGACGCCGAGCTGTTTACGGCGTCTGGCTTTAGAGCAATGTACCTTGGCGTCCCACCCGCAAGAAGTACCATTGGTTCGTAGCAATCGAAGTACGGCTCAATTATGATCACCTACGTATTGCAGCATAACATACATACATACAACGAATTGAAATTGATATGCCGCAAGTTTAGCTGCTGCTCTATTACCTCGTCACCTGCACCGACATTGGCCATGATGGTGTAAAATAACGCTCCATAAGCACCCCCGGTAACTAGAACTTCATTCATGGGGTCAATACTTCTATCCAAAAGTTTCCCATATAGCGCAGCAAGTGCTTTAACAAGCCTTGGATGACCCTAATAAGAAAAATACCAAATGGTCTACTTTGGATGGAATTTGGTGTATGGTGAAAGTTTAGTCTTCAGCCACATGAAAGTTAACTTAATGTGTGTGTGTGGTGAAATGGGGACCGACAAATTTCTCAATAAGGATACTTTTGCAATCGTCAACGACCAAAAGTGAAGAAATAAAAGGAAAGTACAAACGTAAACTCTAAGTTGACCAAACTATCCACATGTTTCTTTAATATGGATTTGCGGAATACTAGCAAATAAGGCTGAAAAGGAGAGAACTCTTATTTTTGTCTTCTTCTCATGAGCAGATAGGGAAAAAAGTGGATAGGTCGACGTCAAATCAAGTTGGTAACCCTCACTCAGATAAACATTGGCCCTTATATGTATTAACCTTTACCTTACTATATATTACTTACATATGCCCTTGCGTATTGATGAAAAGCATACAAATTGGGATCGGATCTGCAAACTTTCTCCAACTCGGCCACGATGGCAGGTGCAGGTTGAAAGTCAGGGAATCCTTGACCGAGATTGACACAATTCCCTAGAACGTCGTTCAGAGAATTGAGCTCGATCCTGAATATTTTTCATTAAAAAAGTTCCAATTGAGTACTTTGTAGAGCAATATTTTCCAATTAAATAAATGTAATTGAAGGATTCTCAGCGCAGGAATCATCTCTTACCACACGTTGCTCTCTAGGCCACGATACTTCGAATCCACTTGAAATTTATCATTTCCATTTTTTAGCTCTGCGTTGGATGTCATTACGGCAAATATTCGTATGAAATGCACGCGCTTGTTACAAAAAAAACTTGATGGAGATTAGACTTGTTGTGTCCAGTTTATACCCACTTTTCTATACATCCATCTATCCGTACGTCGCTAAAATTATTCTTAAGGGTATGAACGACGGCAAACTCTTTCTTGTGAAGATTTATGGTTTATTACATCCGGAATGTTGCTTTCTCTCCTTGAAGAGACTGGAAGAGGAAGGATGAGAAAATCCCTCTGCCCTCGTTTGCCAATGTGCGTTGAATGGTAATATTGTGCAAGGCAAGACGAGTGGATGGATGGACGAACGGACGGACGAGGTGGGGAGGAAACGGGGAGAAAGTTGGAAAGTGAAGAGAAAGTCGACGAAGACGAGCCAAGAATGGATGTGCTTGGTTGTTGGTGGTGGTAGCTGTGGTTCGACGAGTTAAAGTTAAAAGTATGGAGGAAATGATGATTGATGTGATTCGATTTTTCAGACTCGTGATGATGGAATAACAATGAGGACAAGTTAAATCAAAAATCTCAAAATTTTCTTCACACAGACTAAACGAAAAGTGTCACAAATCGAATATACATATATCTATTATGCTTACTCGTAGTAAGTAAGTGTTCTGTGCTCACTGACGAGTACGAAGCCGACTATTGCTCGAGTGGCAGGATGACCTCGCTTATCAAAAAATTCACACTTGGCACTGGCATATCTCTTGAAAATTGTGTGATAAGCTCATACATACTGCTCTCTCTTTTAAAGCAAGCACTAAAACTTGGACAGACTTGACGGTTCCACAAGCACGGACTCCGAGCTTGTTTGGTACAGAGCCATCAAATCGGGTGACACACTGATATAAAACATGTACTCTTAGAAGTAGAAGGCAGGCAGTCAAACTTGTGGTTGTGGTTATGAAATATAATTATCAATTACCATACCACACAAATATTTTCTACCTGTAAAGCATGTGAATTATTTTTATTTTTATGCATAGTCATGTACGCATTTTTAATACTCCTAGAAGCTATTACAGATAGTCCTTACTGCAATATTTTGTACTAATTACTTTAGTAATTACACTCTATCATATAGTCGCTGCAATTCTGCAGGACTATTTTTCGCATGAGAGTCGTGAGGCCCTTAAAATGACGACTAGGGGCGGATGGGGGAGTTAGAGTGCGAAGACTTGGAGACAGGAGGAGCGGGCTGAGGTTGAGCGAGCCAGTTGTAAGCACAATTTCTTACCTCTCCTCCAGCTGAGGTAGGAAATTGAAATTATTCATTCAGCAAGGAATCACAGCCTGGTCGTTTGTATACATTGTTGTTTATACACATTGATATTTACTGATTTAAAAACATTCATTGACGTGGATAGCAAATAAGTGGACCAGACACCAGACAAAGAGAAAAATTGACTACGATACGACCGGATGAAATAGCTTACCAGAAGTTGGCACATTAATACTTGCAAATTCTGAAAGATGGGGAAGAAGAAAAGCAAGAGGAAGCCCCCAGCAAAGGTCAAGTCCATCGAACCTCTCGAGACGCAGTTTAATTGCCCGTTCTGCAACCACGAGAAAAGTTGTGAAGTTAAAATGTAAGACGATTATCAGAATATAAATTCTGCATCGAAATCAATGTCAAGTAGCTTGTAAGTACTATTCTGAGTTGTATAATTTTACAGGGACAAGACTAGAAACACTGGAAGGATAACGTGCCGAGTTTGTATGGAATGTTTTCAAACACAAATTAATTATTTGTCTGAACCCATCGATGTTTACAATGATTGGATCGATGCTTGTGAGACTGCTAATTAACTAACTTCTCGTCGTAATTTAAAGTGTCCAATAATTTAAATGTATTATTTTTCCTTTATTATTTTTCGTTGAATAATGAACGTCTGAAATAAATCATCAACATTCTTAATAAAACAAATATGCTCACTACTAAATATATGCCAAGTAATATTCTTGTGTCTGTATACAATCCAGACGACAATTTGATTATGCCCTTTCCCAATAATAATGTACATGTAAGGTATCACAAATTGACCATATCAATCATACTCATACATATCCATTATTGTTGTCAACTAATAAGCAACTTTAGTTGCATGTATAGTATATTTTCGTAGCATACTGAATAACGATCTCTGCTGATAATTTGTCGATTCTAATTGACAATCAATAATATTTATTCATCTAATTCCACAAATGTTGTGTTTCAGATTTTTATACAAAGACAAACAATAATAATGTTTTATTAGAGAGTTGTTGAGCCAGAGTTGTACTAGCACAAAAATCCTTTCCGAGTGTCTTCGGGCTTGCTTGGTCTATCTCAATGCAATGTAAAACATATACGTAATATGAGGATTTATTTGGTTTGGTTGGTATAGGATTGAAGGCAAAAGCTCGTTTCCATAATACTCCAATGTGTAAGCCTACTTCGTATCAATCATCATGGAGGATAGTGGATTGCTATTCACAAGACTTGCTTTCCCTCACCCTGTACATACTCTTAATAGGAGTGTGTGTACTTAACTGCCCAATTAGCAAATTAGATTTCCACCACCACCACCACCAATCCAGCAGCCTTGATTTTGCTTAAATTGTTGGATTGTTTTGGAATGTGCAATAATAGGAGAGAGAGATATGTGTAACATGGTGAACTGAGCCAACCTATTAACATATATTTGATCAAGGAGGACTCTCCTGCCTTATATCCTGTACTTGGTCCGGGGGGAGGAGAACGTCGCCAGAGGAGGGAATGTCGAGAAAAAATGCTGGTGGGGGCTTGATAGCCAAAAATTCGGTCATCAAATGTTCAATTGATGATCTGCAATTGGACGAAGGCCTTCTAGTTGTCTCCTTTGCCCACAAAGACAATCTCTATCAAGGCGTTCTCCTCCAGCTCAACAGAGAGTAAGACATCAAATTCGTTGTATTTGGAGATTTATGCTGACACTACTTCTAATGACTCATGGTTCACATTTAACTCGCTCTGAGCTCAGCCAATGTAGAAAATTGATAGAATTCCTGAGATCACATTTTTGTGTCGTTCGTGTGTTTGTAGGAGGGGAATTCCAGCAGGAATATCATTTCCGAAAGAGTACTTTTCCGTTGAGAAAAAGCCTGCGGAGCAGCAAGCCAACCCCATCCAGTCACCCCCTCTCACCCAGCGCAACACCTACTTTCAAGAAACAGACCATGGGCGGCAGTATCGCTCCCTACGCCGCATTATTAAAACCCCAGCAAGGTTCAAAAACTCGAGAATGTCCCTACGACCGTAAGTTTATAATCTTTCCTCGATTCTTCTGACTGATTGAAATATCATCCTCTCTTATGCAGAGTGCAAAGACCAGTTCTTTGTGCAAAATGCGGAGCTCTATGCAATGAAAAGGCAGCTATTGCTGGAGAGGAACCTATTGCTCCTAACAGTAATGGCAAAATATGTAACAACAATGGAAGCTCGGAAGCTGACAATAATAGGCAAAAGAAAAACCAAGACTCTAAAAAATCTCCAGGCACTAATAATAATAAAAGTAGTAATAATGGTCCGAATAGCAAGGCGTCCACCAAAGATAACTTGCTACTCACTCCAAGAGTGAAGCTAGCAAAGTTATCCCCATCAGATGATAAGAGGACACTCATTTTGCCCGTTGTCGACGACCCCAAAATAGACTACAACTATGAAGGGGTCGGAAGTATAGGAATCGTGGACAATGCTTGGAAACGACCACTATCCAAACCGTTGAAATATCAAACGAGACACCAAACAAACTCGAAACAAGTCTCAAAACTTACCAAACTCCCTTCTAAACTAATTTCCAAAAGCAGTAGTAGTGGTAGTATTAGTTCTCAGTTAAAAGGTGCGTCTTTAGTGGATTCTCATGATGAGTCCCATCAATGTCCAATTTTTCGCATTACAAAAGCTCCCCACTTGAAATCTAGTAGTGATAAGCAAAGCAAGGCGAATAATTTGAAATTATTCATAAAAAAGCTGACTATGGCTCGTGAAGCGAAATTTCAAGAGCCATCAGTCACAGGAGAAAGCAGATCGCAGCAAGATGAGCAATCTGATGATGTCAACTCAAAGCCTTCCCTCAAAAAAATATTGAGTGTGCCTCCCATGAAAATTCCAATTGTAAAAACAAAAGTGAAATTAAAAAGACGAAACTCGACAATGCCCTACCGCTTCCAAGAAAGCGGCAACAGCAAAAACTCTCACCCTACTATTACTTGGCGAACACGCAAGGTTTCGACAATGTCAAACCCGGATGATAAAGTGATTTCTCCTGTCGCAGAAGATAAGGTTTATGACGCAAGTCTCAACCTTTTGATGAAGGATATCAAAAGAGAAGTTGACATCAACGGACAACAAAGCCATCACGATAATCATAATGACACATTACTAATACCTCCACAAATTGAGAAACAACCTCAGCCATTTTTTGATAGTGACCTCAGCCCAATTCAATCTCCTGAAGAGTTTCAAGATTCTGACGAAAGTTTATCCATGATCACGCCCGACCAAACACCTACGGCTAAAACTCCTGTGATAAAAATTACTTTTGGATCTTCGGGAAACGGAATGGTTGTTCAAATTCCGCCACGAAAAACGAATCACAATCCTCACAAGTCTGAGCAAGAAGAGTTGGTGGCCACAGAAAACCTGTTGGATCCCAAAGCGGTCAGAAAAGCACTGAAGAAAGCGAGAAAGGAGGCGAAGAGAAAACAGTCTGAGAAAGCAGCCTTAAATAAGGAGAAGGAATCGCCTTGCAGTAGTAGTAGCAACAGTGGAGGTTGTGGTAGCGTTAGTTATCCAGCAGTAGTATCAGAGTCATCAACGCAAGCCACAATCGTACCCCTTTCTTTTAACACAAAACCTGCCTTAACCCCGCTTACTATTCATCTTAATAGCAGTCACCCATCGTTAAACAAAGCTAACAGTAATCCTGTTGAAGAAGGCGAACTTTCCTCCAGTCATCGGCATCTCCTCGCAGCGCCAACAACGCCCAACCAAAGAGAAAGCACGAATGTTGCTCATCCCGAGAGCGAACGGTCAGGAAAAAAGAAAAAGAAAGCGAAAAAGAGAAAACGGCAAAAGGACCATAAAGAGAATGACTTGGAAAACCCCAACAATGATGAAAGTCATCATCACCATCATCATCACCACCACCACCATCACAATCAGAATGTGCTGGTGACTTCTGGCACCCCTGCTGCCCCTGGTTCTGAAGTTTCTAGTCCTACTTTCAAGTCTGATACGATCCAACATGATAGCCTCATAATTCCCCCGATGATAAGTAATAACGGTCCTAATAAAATACGGCAACGACGGAGTAGTAGTATTAATATCTCCTCCCCACCAGTGAACCGAACGTCACTAAAAGCAGATGATGATAATACAGACGTGGTCAGTATTAGTGAGGATGCAACAAGCACATTGGTGGACACTCCTACGAATAATCCACAACGTGTATGCATTAGTCTTAAGCGACTAAAAAATCAGACAAATGCATACATTCCTTGGAATGGGAGGAGCATCAATTGTTTCAACAGTGATGACCACGACGAGACCACTTCGGATAGTGCGGATAATGAAGAACCTCATGATTTTCAGGACACGATATTTCTGAGTGATGAATCCGGTGATGGATCCCAAGGTCCTGTCCAGTCTGTCGAATCGTACAATCATGTGCAGTCCAATCAAGTGTACAGGAAGGGGGATGTCGTTTGGGGGAAATCAACAGGTGAGTTGCATTCTAACTTAGAATTTCTAAGTTTAACCAGTGGATTATGTTCAATCTTTGTTCTTGTAATACAATGTTAGGCTGTCCGTGGTGGCCAGGGAAGGTGAGTTTTTATGATCCCATATCGCATAATAACTTGGAAATCTGAGCTTAATTTAATCCCATTTTCGCATTTTGTTAAGATTGTTGACATCCAGCTCCGAGGTGTAACCGACGTTCGTGCAAAGCTTGCCTGGTACAGATCGTCCACGCAGTCCTGCATAACTTTGTCTGATTTGCACCCATTCGAAGAGTACTTTGATGTGAGTAAATAATTAAGGAGACAAATACAAGTTGCCATTTAAAATAAATTCCTCTTTGTTTCAGATCAAATATACCAAAAATCGGAAAAGGGGTTTTTACCAGCAAGCAGTTCGAGAGGCTTTAATCGATGCTCATCAATGATCGAACTTACAAGACTTATATGCAACCGACTGAATATTCTGCCTTTGACGTTGAACCGCATATGCAGTTGTCTTCTTTGTTGACTTTTTGTCATGCAGCAAATCAAACTTGCAACTTTCCGAGTTTGTCTATTTAATCTGTCTATCCACATATTTTTTTCTGTTTTAAACTAATTCAAACCAATATTCGATTTAATTGGTTATTTTGTATAAGAACGATAACGCTAAATATCATTATATGTACCATCAATCGCAGTGGTATGTATACAAAAATAAATAATTATGCAACATAAATTCTATGTTCGTTTTTTATTACACGTTTATTTACACCCTCTATTTCGAATTAACAATAATTCTGCTAACCCTAAAGAAGCAATTATCGAAAAACTCCAGATATCTCCAGATAACAGTTTTCGTAAAATTTTATTGTTCTCATCGGATATTCTTTATCTTACTGAATTTGACGACTTTTTTCCAATTTAGTCAGAATTACCTGATATTCTTCTGCATATTTATGTAATATATGTACATAGTAAATATCACCGTGCTGCACGTTAGCTTTAGATGATCAACATCGATTACACAATGCATTTGCGTAATGTACCACCACCATTATATTTAATCACAATATGATGAATTTATGACGGAATTACAATAATTAGAGCTAGTCAGCACAAACGAAGGCTCGGATACTATTTAGCTAATATGTATTTTATAGGTTTGGGGATGCATTACTACATGCTAGGGTAGATCAATTTCGGCTTTAATAAATAAATACTTAATTCTTTGGCATTTAAAAGTTAGCATTTATAAAATATGAGGATGGTGTAATATGTGTTTCTTGATTTTAAACATAATTCGGTTGTTTGGCAGGATGTATATACATACAAGGGAAAAGGGTAAGTAATAACAAATCGCCGATCGTTTATTCCTTTCACTCAAAAAATTATCAGAGGCTCTCGAAATTATCATCTTTCTTAGGTCAGATTATTTATAATACTTTGTTTCAATTACGAGTTTTTGAACTGTTTTAAAATTTCGTCAGCTTGTTGTAGCGTATCCGTCTTTGGATAAAAATAAACATTTCAAATTAGGTTAGCAAACCAATATTTCAATAAATAAGGGTAAAATCAAGTACCTTTTTATAAAAACAAAGTCGGATATAGCTTTCTCCTAAGTGCTTATGATCTTCAGAATAGAAAGCGGATGGAGGGATTCCAAGTAATTTAAATTTTTTGGCGAACCATTTGACAAATCGATAGTCAGCACATTTGTCCGTCTCAGAACTTAGGTCAACTTTTGATTCTAGATTAACACAAATGTCTAAAATTATTATTCTGAACTAAAAATCATTTTCTCAATTCCTCTATCATGCATTACCCATTGGTGTCCAGTTGGCCAGCATGAAATAACCTCCCTCAGGTACTACAGGATTCATTCCTGTATCTTTTAATGCCTTGGCCATCATATCACCTGAAATCATATGGAATGAAATGCCACCATCAAACAAACTGATTTCTTCAGTTAATCCATCAGCTCATCACGATGACTATTTTATTTGGAAGAATTGGCATTTCTTAGGATTAGTGAGAACTGAGAACTATGTATTAATACGTGGTGGTTGGTTTACTAGGCACGATCAAATCGTTGGTAACCTATATGCCATTTTCACACAACTTTAAACCTACATGTTAAAATATATATAAATGACCAGCAAATGCACTCAAAATACGTATATCTAGCCTTATAAATACTCTTCCAAAAACGCAATCAAACTTACGTCGACGTTTCAAATCAGTTGCCATTTTGTAAAAGAAACTGTTGGTTGTTCCCAAGCGCTTAATTTCTTTTTCCAAAGAGACTGCCAGGGCTTCTTGTCCTGGTGTTTGGCAAGTGTAAACACAGTTTTGATGAGCGACTTGCATATTTTTTATGAGATGAGCACTCCTGTACACATGGATTAAATAATGATTATTAACCAGGTAGTCGGTTGATGAAAACACCACTTGTTAGTTTTTATTTGCTTACCCATATGACCATCCTAGTTTCCATCCAGTTAAACTGGTAAAAGAACATTACTTATTAGTCATCCTTTTAGTGATTCCCAAATATGTGTAGTGCACATTTTTTCACGCTGGATAATACTGGGCGTGCATCAGTGCATGTGAATCTACGTTATTATTACCTAAACGTCTTTCCAGCAGATCCAATAGTAATTGTCCTCTCCCACATTCCTTGAAATTGGAAAAATAAATAAATAAAATTCGCACACAACGTAAGACTGAAGCAGTAAAATACCTGGCAGTGATGCAATTCTAACGTGGTCGCTCCCTTCGTAAACAAGCCACTCATATACTTCATCCGAAATAACAAGAATGTTAAATTCTTTACACAACTCCGCAATCACCTAAGATGGCAAACTGGATTAATCCTCAAGAGCTCATCGACTTCGACTAAATCAGTCGAGTAAAGGTATAAAATCTCCTTATTACCGTGAGTTCTTCTCTACTAAACACTTTCCCCAATGGATTATTTGGAGTATTTAAGATTATAGCTTTAGTTTTCTCGTTAAACAATGATCGGAGCTCTGCTTCGTCCAGCTTCCAAGTTGCAGAAGAATCATCCATCACATTCACCGGTTTAAGAGAAATGAACCTTGGTGTTCCTCCAGCTAACTTGACAAGGGGTTCATAGCCTGTTGGATAAAAATAAGTAAAATGTGCAAAAAACGACCAAGTTCAATTCTGTTGAATGGTCCCCAAATTAGTTCCACTAATAATGTTTAAAAATAATAAATGTACTTACAATCGAAGAAAGGTTCTACGATAATCACCTGCATTATTCACAAAAAAACATTGCATTTTACTGCCATCAGCAGTTGCATACAATTATATAAAAAGAGGATCTGTTAGCTACAATAAAAAATAGAATTACCTCGTCACCCCGCCCTACATGAGACATTATAGCTGCAAACAGACTGCCATAAGCACCTCCAGTGACCAAGACTTCCGTGTTGGGATTGATATCCTTCCCAATAAGCCTCGAGTACAACTTGGCCAGTGCTTTCACAAGTCGGGGATGTCCCTAATACAGGATTACATCATAATTCCACCGTCTCTTCAACTTTCTCCAAGGGACAACCCACCATTGACCTCGTGTACTGGTGCAGCAGGGGCTCGGCCTCCTGTTCACATGCCCTAGCCAACTCCTTTACCACGCTCTCGGCAGGCATAAAGTCGGGAAATCCCTGTCCGAGGTTCAACGGCTTCAGCTGAGCGTTCAACTCTATAAATTCAACCCTAATAAATAAAGCAACGTCAATTAATTCTAAATCCATTTTGCATCTAATCCGTCCTTTGTCCTATCGTATATGTATTAATCAACTTTCACTCACCAAACATTCTTCTCCAACCCGTGATATTTGGTGTCAAGAGAGAACTTGGGATTGGGAGGAAGCAGTTTTTCCTTGATGATGGTCGTGTTGCTGCTGCTGCTGGGTTCTGGAGCTGGGGCTGGAGCAGAGTCCGCCATGGTTGTAGAAATTAGTCGTGCGAAAGGCCAGACTGGGCGACGTCGACTCTGGGTTAGGCAGGTCGACAAGGGTGAAACTGACTGCCCGCAACAACAAGTTGCCGATTGTCGTCTGCTGAGAGTGCTGTTGAGAAGAAGGAGTTTCTTCTGCTGGAGTTTGGCAAAAGTAGAAGACTGGATGGAAAAAGGGGAGCGGAACGCCATTTCTCTCCAGCAGAGGAAGCAGCAGCCCAGTCACTAACCGCTCATTCCTCACTTTCCCCATCAAATCCCTCTCCCACGTAGGCCAGCAATCGATCTCTCTCCACTTTGTCTCCTCGCTCTCGCTCTCCCTCGCTTTCCCCGTCCGCTTTCTCCACCAATCTCGCCCGACCTCCTGCTTTCCCTTCCGCGACTTCCTCTCCTCAATCAGAGGGATCCTTGGGCACTGATGCATCGGCTTACTTGCTAATTAATAGTTGAACTGTAATCTTGCATGTCATGCAATGCAATGCTATGCCAAAAGGTAGAATTATGGTGGAATGACTCAATGAATATGCTAATCAATTCAGAGTTTTGTCAGGAACACATTTTATTGATTCGATGCTGATTGATAATAATGTGGATATTGACTGCATAGGTATGTACTTTATTTACTGTTCGCGTGGAAAAACCATTTTATTTCTCCGATATATACATCTTATTTATCACTGGATAAGAGAAATACGGATTACAGTTAAAGTACTTTATGCAAGTAAGATTTCTAATCTCGCATTCTCTTACAAGTCACATATTACGAAAGATGACGAGATTACGAGTTCTGTAACTCGTAATCTCGTCAAGTTAGTAAATAATTGACAGCAATTTACCAACTAATCCTAAGTAAATCTGTAACAACAATAATAACTACTAAATGATGGATTTATTGCTAGTATTAACAGCATCGCTCATGTCTAAATTTATAAGCGTGATTTTGTTAACAAGTGTCGAATGATTTGCAAATTGACGTAAAATTTGAATTCCTGACAGATTTCAAATTAATCAGTGCATCAAAATCACGGTTTGCTTTGACTTAGTACGCACACACAAAATTATATTACCCTAATTTTTACATTGCAGTAGTTCATAAGACCAAAAGGCTCAACAAACAATAATTTGTTGGACCTTTTAGATTATGAGCAGTAACAGGAACAACAATAATATTTATCACTATATAAAAATTGTGGCGTGAGGCGATATCACAAAAATACCCCCCGTTTAATACGACAACTCCATAAATTACCCCACGCAATTGCAACTTTCTCCCACTTCTTCCCCTGTAGCATATCGGACGTGTTGCTACGATCATTCATTTGGCAGACGACGTCTATTTACAATTTATGAAATCTTAATATTTTAAGGATAATGTAAAAGGTTACAAGTTTTACGCTTACAGGTGAACTAAACTAATGTAAAACTATACAACTAATGCTGTCTGTCTCAGCTTGGTGGCACCCATCCTCCGAAGGCTGCTTCCAACTCCTCGGCTACTTTAATTGTGAGATGATCAGAGTTAATCCCACCCACCACTTGAACACCGATGGGCAGACCCTTCGACCCTAACCCCATGGGCACCTGGGTCACCTGTAATTCAATACAATTGAATAAAATGTCAAATTATACAACCTCTATTTTCGTCAACAGCGACCAGCTCGCCCATATCATGAGTTGTTCGTTAAATGTCAAACGTATTAGAATTACCGGAACTCCTAGGACGTTGAAAATTCCGCAGTAGGAGAAATCTGCGGGGGCCAACCATGGCTCGTGGTGCCTGGGAGCTGCAGTCGGATGTGAAGGATAAATGAAAATGGCATCGTCACTCATCAATTCCTGTTAAGAGAAGGACCATTCAAATATGAGTCAACTTTGATGCATGTCAAGATGTTAAAGAGAGTAGTTATTTTGCAGAATTACCTGGAACTCTTTAACAAATGAGTTTCCCATCTCAATCATATTTTGATGTCTTGGTAGCTTGGTGCCTACAAAGGTAAAAATTGTTAAATTTCTTTATGAATCGTTTAATACTAATGTCGTGTAAGACTGTAAGAGTACCCGTTTACAAAAAGTTCAACTGACGCAGTACTAGATACGAACAACTGAAAACTTTTTACGGATTTTTAAAACCGATCGAGTCGTGTAACAAGTGACAGATATTTCATGTTTGTGAATGCCTAAATATCCTACTCACTTGGGAAATATGAATAAAAATAACAGGATTTCTTGATAGCTCAACTTTTAGCGTCAATATGATGAATTGTTTGTTATTTGGTGAACCAGTTTCTCATTCCAAGTCTCTCAAATACTATTTTACTTTCCATGTAATAGCCACAATATATCTGACAGTTAAGGATTGCTACTTCTTTGTTTTGATCTTGTTAAAATTTTGTGTAATAAATTGATGTTGTTAATGTGATGGTTAATGAATGATATGTAACAAATAACCTGTGCTGCATACATGATTATGCGACCAGCGGAATAATGAAGACATTAAGTTGCATGAAATTTGCAGTTTTCAAAGCTATTTGCTTTATCATTTCAGTTGAACTTTAAGGAAACTCGTACTTTACAAATGAAGAAATTTGCACGTACCAACATAGGCAACTTTTTCTACAAGCCCCAAAACTGCAAGAGCAATCAAGTTGAAATTATCATTGTGGTTTTTTGATAACTAATTTATACACAAATATTTTAAAACGAACCTATGGCAGGAAATGTGTGGGGTGAAGCGTTGAAGAAGAACTTAATGAGTTCCAAGAATGGATTTACCTGTAAAAAAATAAAGTAATATATTTCAAAGTTATTCAACATCAATGAAGACAGTTCAAGTCCGTTGTTAATGAGCCGCAAAATTGAGTTGACCATTACCTTGCCCTGTTTTAAGGCTAATTCTTCGCAAAATGGCACTGCCCCAGCTCCACATTGAAAAATAAATATTATTTACTCCGGATTTAAACAAAATATTTATTTAAATAAGTTAATGTATTTACCTCCACACAAAGTTTGAGCCCAAATCTCCAAACTGTGATAAAGTTTGATGATATTCACTTTCTGTAAACGAAGCAAATTAAAATTAGATAATCATCCATTTAAAAGTGAGCTCATAAATTGAATCTATATAAGTTATGCAAATCTGCACTTTAGACTGATGTTGTACGCACAACACGTGCTAAATCATCGTTCAACTTTTTTCGTTTACGTTAACAAGTGATCTTAAAGTAAAAAATGTCATAATAAGATGATGAACGTAATCTTTCATTGAAATATCTTTACCAGTCCATGTAATGCAATGAAGATTGACTTACGAAGAGTCAGTTAACGCTATATTTTTCTGCATGGAATGTTGCATTTAGTTTTTTTATGTGAATGTAGCGTAAATTTTTACTTGAATGCATTTTCAGTCTACTAATGTACATACATATGTGCAGTCTACATGTACATTTTAAAGGAGTGCGTTACAAATTGTGTGCATTGTAGCGTGCTGCCTATAATTTAAAGCCGTGTTGACTATATTGAACGTCTCGCAAAGTAATTTGAATTTCAATGTTATCCAACATACGTATACATAAGTGGCGGCGAATCATAATTTCATTTCACAATTCTGTGATGTAATTAATTATTGCTTTAAGTGTGAAGTAACGATTATTTGTTTTAGTATAGAAATAACAATGAGACGATTTAACACTTCTTTACTGAAACATTTCAAGGACATGCCGCTATAATGCACTGATGGCAGTGCATTTTTTACCATATACGTTACTTGAGAGTCTAGCACTTGGCTGGAAAGCTTAATATAATAATGATAAGCTGGTATTTAGTCTCACCTGTGGCTTAACTCCGTATTTATATTCCAAATGCTGGACACACCTTCGAACACAGTCTTGCATCTCATCGTTGACAGGAGAGGCTAAAGGGCTGCCACCATCATGGACCATGTATAGCACACGCATTTGCTTCATTTCCGGCACTTTGTTGATCTTTTTAATGTTATCTCCCAGCATAACGTCCAGGAGGAGTCGCATGTCTCGAGCGTGACGAACCATGGGTCCCGTGGTTAACAGCTCTGCCAATCTTCCAAAAGTTTCGGGAACCTGAATAGCATTTTACTTTATATGTGAAACCGTTCTAGTTGTATTTTCCCTAGATCAGCGATGATAAGAGTTCCATTACCTGGCCCCAATTAGAAATTAAGCCAGTCGAAGGCTTGTGTCCAAACAGGCCACAAAAAAATGATGGCATTCTAATTGATCCGGCGATGTCTGACCCCACACCAAATGCACTCCCAGCACAGGCTTGAAGTGCTCCTTCGCCACCTGAAGATCCGCCTGGAAGAATTCACAAAGCTTAGATGCAACCCAGCGTTTAGATAAGTTAAGCATGGTTTACACGAAGAAATGTCACGCACCAGTAATATGTCGCGTGTCGTAGGGATTTTTTGACCTTCCGTACACCTGTTAATGGAGTAAAAGTTGAAGGAAATCGTTATTCCGTACACTTATAAACTTACTAATAATGTACACTTACTGTGTTAACAGATTCCCACCACATGCAGAGCTCAGACACATTCGTGACTCCCAACGGAATGGCTCCAACACGCTTAAGTGACTTTACAACGTCGGCGTCTTGTGGGGCCGTGATCTCTTTCCGAAGGTGGAGTCCAGCAGTGTGCTTCAATCCTGAACAAAATCATGAACAAAATTGTCACATACACACCTCGCACCTCTGAATTTTAGCTTGTGAGAGCTACCTGCAACACAGAAGGAGTCCTTGATGGTGAAGGGAACGCCCAACAAGGGAAATTTGTCCTGAAGTTCGGTTTCGTCATATTCTCCCGACTGGATCAGTTTGTCCACTTTTCTCGCCTCCTCTATGGCCAGATCGAAACGCTCGTCCACGAGCGCCGTAATTTGATTATTGACTTCCTCAATTCGTCCGATAAATGCTCGCACAACTTCTTCTGAAGTTATTTCACGCCTTCGAATCTAGTTATACGAATAGAAAAGCATGTCGCATGAACAATGAATACTGTGTATAATTAAAGTTATCGGATGCAGGCTTCTTCCTGCTTGTTGACTTTAGTTATAAGGATGTGACCGTGATGCAAGGTAAAGGTCGGTAAGGATAAACGAGCTCATAGTAATTTGCATGAGCACAAAGTCATGGGATGTGCACCGTAATAAGAATGCGAGTAAATTTTTGAACCACGCAAACATTTTGGCATTTTTAACTTTTTCCCTTCCAATGGAAGCCTCTGATTTTCAAAATGCAAAAAATCTAGCGAGATGGACTTGATTTCTACTTGGAGCACTTGTTATACTTATTTACTCGCAATACTACATACATAAATAGACAGATGCATCTCATGCCACCATTTGTTATTCATTCATCGCGTTATGCTTATGGTGTGTTTCTCAGTTTTTGGAAAACGGGTCATATTGGTTAAGAATTAGTGCTCAGCACATTCACAGAACCGAACTACAGCATAAACTCTTGTACACTTTCTCCGTGCGGAGTAAAGACAGCCAGACAGCATTTTTAAGGCTAATTGTCGACTTGTACTTACACTAAACAGCGAATAAAATCCCAAGGGTACCAAACGTATTGCATTTGATAAAACTGTATAAAATCCTCGTTTCATCTTTGTTAGTAAATCGAGACATATAAGTAAAACCAAACATTTTTGAGAAAAAAGAGTCGAGTTGCAATGAATCTCAACTTTGCGAGTGGCCTTCATGGTTCGCAACTTTGTTTTTTGTTCTAATTTGACGCTATCCTATATTAATAATAATTAAGATTTAGGCTCTAAAAGCAAAGAAAACAATTTGTTACATGTACATGCGCATTTATACAGAGCATAGTGATACTCTTTTACACGTGTATCTCGATACGACTGTTCGACTAAATTCAGTTGGAATACAAATTCAACACGTTGAAAGTGCTAACTAAATCTGAGGTAAGTAAGATGATAATGTGTTTTGATAATAAGTGTTGGAAAATCCACACAAAATTTACTCGTTTCGTTTCTTTATAACTCACTAGCGTGAAGCTAAACTCATAATGTTAATATGCACATAAATAAATACGCATGTCGTAGATTGTTGTGAGCAATTTAAATTACCTGGTCCGCTATTTCAGTCACGCTTTGTCTGAGGAATTTCCTATTTCCAATTGGTGGCAGCGGGTTTTTTTCTGCTGGGAATTTAAATAAGACAGCCAGGATTACGGAGCCTATAATGTCGTATATCCAAAAGAGCAGTCTGAAAATACTCGCCACCAGCATCCCAAGCGCGGCGTTGACCACTGCAATTACATAAAGAGGAAATGTCAACATTGGCATTATCACATGTATGACAATAACATGTTATAAAATAGTTGAAGATTGTGTGTCTTCTTGAGACAAGGTCGAGGACTCTCGTGTGTGTATTTAATTAGCAACGACGACGACGACAGCGGTCATGGATTGGTTCACTCGATTTCAATTCTTACATTTGCATTCGTAATACGGAAACAACTTTAGCTGGGTGTACCTATTTATGCTGCGATAAATGGTCTGTTTGCGATGACTTGCAACCTATAGACCAAAATTTTAGAGCTATTTAAGTCCAGCTCATTTTAGTTCTCCATCAAAGTATTTATATAATTGGGTGATGATATACCACAGTTGGATTTTATTTTAGACTACTCTTCACAATTTTGCATGTCATTTGAGAATATTAAAGTTATGTCAGTAAATATATAAGAAGGTCAATAAAAGAGATGAAAAAGTAAAATTGGGACAATATTTAGGACAATGTTTATTTAGCCTACTGTTCACGTATTTCATATTCACATTTACGGTACGTGATAAACCCAAGTCCAACTTATTTAATTACACGAATTACTTGCTTGTTCAACGAATACCAGAAATGATAAAGTTATACATATTTTTCAAATCTTCTCACACTCTCAATATTTAGTCTACAATTGATTTTCTTTAAAAAAAATCTCTGTCACGCATCAACCAGAGCTTTGTATTTAACATGCACTAATTTATGTCGATTTTCTCATCAATTATTATATTACTTGACATGGTTAAAGTTTATGAATATTTAATAATTATTTTAAATTAGTAAAAAATATTGTATGCCATAATTCAAGAGAATTGGGTCAAGAGCACATCATCTGTTATTACTCATGGAAGTACAAATATTCAATTTTGTGGTTTAAAATATTAATTAAATTTTACGAGTTAATTCTTCTGTTTCGCCCTGCAACGGGGAAATAAAAGTGCACCTAGTTCCTATCAGGTTGTAGCATTGCTTAGTCTCCCAATTTCTTACAGCAAAGCATAAATCACATTTTAGACCATGCCAAGAATATCCGTACACATGATGCAATTTTAAGTCCTATTTTAAATAGGCTATAAAAGTGAAAGGAGCATGGGACATGCACAAAACGCTCATCAGCGGTTTTGCATGATGTCTGAATTCGAAAATTGTGTTAGTTAATCATTACACAAGTCCTAGCTCAATTGAATAACCTGGATTGCATAATTTTTATGGTGTGGCTCTCTTGACTATTTGTGTAAGACGCTTGAGACTGTATTTAGAATTGAAATTGGTATTCTGGGCAGATACGAATGTTGCAAGTACGATGCGAATGATGTTGATGTGTGTGCGTCGTATACCAATCACTCATTCATTAGTTAGCTTGACAATAAATAGAATCAGGCATGACGAAACCCAACATACGGTTAATAAAACAAGGAAATCATTTGATGGGGATTGTTGCACACGCACCGCATATCAATTAATTGGGTTGATCAGAAAATAGCCACATGCAGAGGACATACACATTTAGTAACGTGTATGTATATACATACATATAACTAGTTTTTTCTGTTTTGAAGTTTTTAAAAACTTCCAAAATTATAAGAAGTGCTATTTAAGAGGGATGAAAAAGGGAGCCGTTCAACTTGACTTATCTCGAAAATGAATATTAAAATGTTTGATAAATTGTAGTTTAATGAAGTACAAACGACGATGATATTAAGATGTAGCATCAGATGAGTGATGACCCACTTACTGCTTAATGGGTCAAGCAAACTATGAAACTGTGAGATCGTCGTTCGTGAGCTGATTACAAGCTGTTCAGCCATTATGATGCTAAACATCCTCGTATTGGACATTTGGAGAAGTCTTAAGTTTAGCCAACCCACACGTTTCTAATTAGTACAAAACATTACAAGCTGTTTGAGGTAAATGTGACCTTGGGTCTGACAAACCAATTTCAACAGCTACAAATTTGAAACACATTTTTTTCCACTTATGGAAATTTTAAGTAAATAGAGGACTTCAATTTGATTTTAATATCAAATTATGCAATAATTTTTCCGTGTATATACTAAAATTAAACTAAAAGTCGGATTTTACAGTTTACGCATTTAAATAATATTTGCATACAATTTTTGCAGTAAATATATCTAGTTGGATACATACTAGTATGCGAAGCAAATATCTATAAATTGTTCAATGTAACATTCAACCGCATAAAAAGTATTAAACTATAAAAGTTTATGATAAAAACAAAGACGTACATACAACACAACATAACAATAACAAAATCTGTTTCTGGTGTATAAGTTTGCCAACTCAAATTTTGCAGTAAGTGGCAAAAATGTATGTACATGCATGCACACCTACATATGTACGCATGTACTAGTAATTAGTGTATGGAATTGATGAAATCTCTCCACATCTCAAAAACCAGTCCGGTTCTCAGAAGATTTGGGAAGTACAGAATAAATGAAAGAAATTGCTGGAGGTGAACAGAACCTTCATTATTTTTGTGATGCTATCACTTATGCAACGGAAGTCCAAAAAAATCTGCTACTTTTTCCTTCTGTGTTACTAAACTGGGATTTTTGTGTTGGACAAATTAAAAATTATTATTAAAGGTTTTCACGCCAGTCAGATAATTATATCTACAACCAATATATCCATAGGATAATGCTCTGAAACTGATGTATACCAATCACTCGTGTAATTTATCAGTAGCAGTGCTTATAGTAGTTATTATAGTATAATTTTGCATTAAGGATGTTCTTAAAGTAAAAACTATAGGGTTGAAATTACCAATGAAGGTTAACATAACATTACCTGATAACCATGTCAAGCAGTACCACTGGAGAACAACTCTCCCAATGTTGGTAATGGACCAGGATGTAGACTCTTCCATGTCTTTGTTCTCTTTATGCGATGAATTTGCAAAGTACCCCTGTTTTCAGTTATCCAGTCCTTCACAAAACCCACAACTCATGCAGGTTTATACGTATGCACATGTATTTACTCTGCCCACGCTTGGCACTTAATTATTAAAGTCAAGAAATTCAATATCAAAATTGAACCAGTTTAATTTTTTTGTATCCAGAAGAAATTCGTAGTAACGTGATTTGAAGTTGTACTCGGGGTATGCAAGCCCTTGAAGAAGTACCACGACGATTATATAAATAGCACAGAGACCTTGAGGCTAAAAGTGCTCTCTACGTCCTTGAATGTCAGAAGATGTCGAAAGGGTTCTGGATGTTTTTCATCCCACATCAAAGCACAAGCTCACTTCACCGTGTTCCAGACTACAATGATGGCTAAAATCTGTTGTGTGCAGATTTATGCACTTCCAGAGCAAGCGTTAGTAGAACCATCATCATCACGAATGGTCCAGTCAAATGTATGTAGGTTTATGTAACGTGGTAAGATACATAGAGTCCAGAACGAAGAGCAGGGAAGTTCTGAGAACAATGGAACAAATATTTAAGCGAACAAGTCCACTGGTCAACTACCGGTTACGTGAGGTGCAGCTCCTTAATTATGATTACGAACTGTGATTTGACACACACAGGACGCGTAAATATTTATCTCACAAGGAAAACATTGCTTTACGTCATCCACACAATTATTTTCAAACTTTAAACTGTAAATAACCTTCTGAAAACATACTTATGAATTGCATAACACGTAACTGCTTAAAATTAGTTGAGCCTGTATCACTAAAATGTGCTACTCACCAAGTAAGAAGCTAAAATATCTTTTATAAGGAAATCATAAATTTGTAATAAATTTAATGGAATTATAGGAGGGATTCTAGTCAATTTTACAGTTGGCTATCTGAATACGTGTACAGTCTCAACCTCCGTTAGTTTTAGGTTTAAAAGTTGAACGAATTACACCAAAAATCCATTGATACCTAATCAATCGGAAATAAGTCAACCCTTTTAATGGCACTCAGGTAGAATTACAGGAACAGATGCTTTCCTTGAGGTTTTGTGCGAACTCTGCCAACAGACAACTACCTGAATAAAGTTCAACAAAGTCTGATTTAAAATTAGTGATCACCATCCGCAGTCCTGCTGCAAACCCTCTCGCTGCATCAAAATCTCCTTTGTCTGATGATCTCCTCACGTACATAACGTTATAACGTTACAGCCATCATACCAGCTCCTTTGTGCATATGTACGTACATATAAGACGTCCATGTATAAGACGTCATGCGACCAACGAAACATGCAACAATTGGCTTCAGCAGAAGTGAGCAAGATGTGGTTTGCTTTATTTCTGCTTATTATTTTGGATTAGGGAAAACCTATCCACCTTCTGCACAACCTCTGAAGACAGTAGAGAAGGGCGGAGAATAGTAAAATAACAGAACAACGAACCAAAAAAAGAATTTGCAGTACTTTGAGACAGATTGAAGACAAGGAATTCAAGATTGCACTTTGCCGATTATGTTATTTTTTGCTGGTCATTTATTTATACGCAACGCTGCTTGCATTTGTGTGGCTTCCATTTTTTTTAAGTGTAATATGCATTCCAGAGTCGTTAAGCTTTTTAAGAACCAGAATAATGAAATACAACACAATTAATTATCAAAGGCCAATTTATCAAAATGTGTTTGGTTATTCTTTTCTATTCTGTCACATCCTCAAATTCATATCTCAACCAAATTGTACAATACTCTTCATTTACACATAATATGCTGCATAGTTGCTTAAGATGAACCAGGAAACAAATATTTTGCATGATGGACACGAGTATGCCATTTCTGAGGTCAATATTCTCTTAAAGTCAAGTAAAATACTTAGGAAGTAGAGGATGCGATATCATTACTGAGCTAATCTTTAGTTCCAGCATTATTCTATTCATAATTTGTATTTACTATTTATAGCTTTTCTATTTGCATGTGATGATAAGAGTTCATGTGAACCATGTTTTCGCATTTAATTGATAAAAAACGGTTGACGGTACAATTCTGTAACTTGGAATTTACAAGCCAAAATTTTATTAATGTCAAACGATCACTTTTTATAATTGTCATCACTATAATTTTTGTCAACTTTATGGATATTTTGTAAGTCCAACTACGTTGTTCTCTTACACATCTCCTATATAGTATCCAGCTGACTATAACTTTTTTCTGCATGGCTCATCCAAATTAAAATCTCATCAATACGCATCCATAGTAGAATGCACTTTGAACAGTACATTAAACCCTCATCAAACACAATAACCTGAAGCTACAACTTTTGTCAACTTTGCACATTTGCCGTTGTCAATTGTGTAATCTCCACGTAAATTTCAAGTGTTTGTTCAAATTCATACCTTGCCTTGAACTTCACCTTTGATCGGAAAAACTCAACTCTGCGAACCATACAGATTTATTATTACGTGCAATAATGCCCCTGAGTTAAACTTGTTTTATGATCTAATTTAATTTTCCAAGCGATTTAGCATGCGAGATAATTTTTAGCTCCCGGAAAATAATTGAACAAAATAATGTAGATTAAATTAAATATATGCTATTGGCGTATTCGTAAAAAATCTATACTTACGAGCTAGGCAATAATTGGCACGAAGCACTACTGCCAATTTTATTTCGCTTATAACATTTTTAGTGGTTCCCAGAGGTTGTTAAATTGACCTCTACAAAACTTTACATGCTTACAAAATGCAGTTTTAAACATTACTTAGAAATAAATACCCATAACACAAGTGAGATTCCCATCAGTGAACAAAAAAGTGTAAATTGCTAAATGGCAATCATATTCCTCCTGCGATTAGTAATTTGCTGGTAGTGGGTGACACATTAATGAAAACTTCATGAAATAACCTGAACACGTCATCAAGCTCAAGATTAGCATGAATTGCAATAAAAAATTTTAGGAAAAAAGTTAAGAAAACTCAATTTGATAAAATCCACTTATGACGTTTTACATAAAAAAAAATTTGAAAAAAATCAACGTATTTAGATTCGAATTAGCATTGAACGATAAAAAATTGTCGTTGTTTGTTAAAAATATTTAGCGAATGTTTTTAATTTTTAAACTTTAATTTGTGGGGCATTTTGACAATTGATCGACAACTTTATAGTGGATTGAGGATGCATATAAGAACTAGTTATTACGATTACGTATACACATACATATATGCAAAAAAAACTAAAAAGTAATAAAAACCTTGACATGATCAACACGTTGTTTTGGGCACACACAAATTATAATACGAGATGTACGTGTGATGACAAATCAAGCTGAGATCTGTCCACTCGACGAACATGTATGTGTACTCAAATTGCTGTAATATTTTTACAATACGACTTCCAGAAAAAAGTTTGCTTGATGATAAATCATAATAATTAAATCGTTCAAGATTGTCAATAAAGTCTAGAATAGGAATAACGTCTGGAATATGATCCAATACTCAACATGACATCTACAGAGTTTGTAAAAGCACAAAATATCTGTACATCAATGAGCTCACTCAAGTATGTATTGGCACACACATTAAAATCGATAATAATCTGCGTCACATTTATTCCGTGAGAAATTGTAGATCAGCATAATTTCGTACCTTTGCATATTATTCACTGCAGAAATAACGGCAGAGAGTCAATGCACGAAATCTAAATCTGGTTGAACTCCTACTGATTCCAAATGACGTCCAATATTTCTTGGAACCGGTTCTTTGAAGCCGTGTTACAGGTAACGTTTATAGATATTTATTTGTACGGAAACAAAGTCCGTCGTGTTTCTAAATCTGAATCATTTTCAAATATTTAGCTCACCTGGAGTTCTTGGCTTGTGTTTCTCAGGTTCTAAAGTGGAGCTTGGGAAATCCACTTCTAATCCAGTGGTCACGGTCACAGCAGACATGACCATTTTTGCAACAACTAGCAACATGTCCTTCTCTCAAGTATTCCGAAAACTTTTTTCCTCCCAAAATTATAACCCCAATAGAATTATTATGGGGAAAATTGCACTTGGATCGGATGGATCGGATTTCCCGTCCTCCAAGAAAATTATTTTAGGCCACAGATAAGTCCACTTCAGTCACTCAGCACAGGTAAATGTCTACTGGCTGCTTCCTTTCTTTGGTAACACGTTGCAAACGGATGGAGGAAAGACAGACAGTAAAGGAGAAGGGACTACGATTTGATAACTTCTGGCCTTATCGCTACACATGCTAGCCAAATGTCTTACTTTATGAGAAGTACAAGGTAAGGCACTATGCAGACAATAATAACGACATGCCACGGCAGACACAGTGGTCACATGCAGTTAATCCAAGCCGGCTATAAATCCAACAGGGTCTAATCTGCTAATATATGCACACAATGCTGAATCCTATTGTTGATCTGATCTTCTTTCCTAAGTAGTAGACAAAGTTTAATCAGATGAATGTCCTTTCGAGTATAACAATGCGTACATGTAATGTCTATTTCTATCATAATGCGTATTATACCTGTTCCCCATCTAGGCTGACCCTCTTTCTCGTCCAGATGAGTCCAAAGGCCAAAATATAACCTACATTTTTTGCACATCAAGTTCGATTTGAGCCAAACTCGCCCCCTAAAGATACTGACCATTTATAATCATTATAGCAAAATATAATACCTCGCGAGATGATCGTAAATTGCCTTTATGATACAGTAGCAACGTTTATTTAGCATAGTTTTGATATAGCACCACCACATTTACGACCATATACATACCGACCATATACAGAAGACACACAAATGTATAGTCTTACGTGAATCAGTTATTCATCAATAGTTGAAACGGATGACATTGGAAATTGAGATCGCCCCACGACCAACAAGTTATGCATGCTATACACACAAAGGATCCATCCAAGGGGCTGTAGGTGCACTGCGCTGATTGAGATGCACCCAACAACGCATGAAAATAAATTAGCAGATGGAGGAATACGCATGATTTCTTGCTTTATGTGCATGTGTATTGTGTACGTATGTATGGGCACAATAATTCATTAGTAACGTGTTCCTGCAAGGATGTAAGGTAAGATCAAGAGGAACGCGTTCGAACGCAAAGCGCATATTACATTACAGCAAGATTACCATTGTACCTTTCACGAGTGACCACCAAGAATCCACCACCAACTTGTTCTCAACTCGTTATATGAATGTTTTGGAAGTTAAAAGGCCAAGGTTGGCAAGCAAAAGTGATTTGGTGTGGGACCCTTTGATGCAGATCCTTTAACCTCTTAATGGTTATCAGAGTGGTTAGACAAAAAAGTATATGCACTTTTGCATTCATTCACGTGGACTGTTCTGCCATTAATTCAGCTCAACCCAGGATGAGGATTCAGTTCTACTTCTACATATTTTGATCTCATAAAAGATTCAAAACTCGTCAGTTCGTCGTGTCGTAAGACAATGCGACGAGGAGATGATCTATGACTTATTTTAACGTCTAAAGCGATCCTAAATGTGTATGCATAAATTACATTTTTTAAATTGATTTTTCACTTTAAGAAATATACATGTTTATTTTGGTGTTTATGTATGTGTGTCAATTTGAAACTGTCAAATCAAAATCATGATCATTGATTGATTAGTGTATGCATATGCAATGCAATTACTATTTTACTTCGATATGCAAGAATATAAACGGCGGCTTATTGATTTTAATTATGAAAATCATACAATGTAATACAAATATATGCATGATAATATAAGACAAATGAAGACTAATATATTATAAGTACTTAATTGTATACCACACTAATAATGATAACCCTGACTTTTGCATCAATAATTTCGACTCTGACTTTATATCTATGCAGCTATAATCTGTATAATTATAGTTTCTAGAAAATAACACAGTTCAACAAAGATATTATTTTATTTGGTTGGACTTTGCACTTGCGTTGCATTTTGCCCAGCATTTGAGATCATTATATTTTGACCACTATTGAGGTGATTGAGTCCAATCAACTTCATCCTTGTCCTTCCCGACCTGATCTCGTTCTAGGCAAATGAATGCAACACTAATTTATCGAGGACTTTAAGAGCTTAATCATTTTAAAAATGCATAAAATTGCACCTACTCCGCAACATTAAAATTAATTTTATCGTTGATGTAATAATTAAGTCACCTCACTTGACATATTAAGCAGTTTAACCTCATATTACTGAAGATCAAGGCAATAAAAGTAACACCAGCTACTATACATCACAATTCAATTTTTACCCAAGGTGTTGAACTGGAAATAATTTTTATAATCTTATGTACTCTTCGTGCTTACAAAGAACCAGAACGAAATTCTCAGTAATCTAGTTAATAATGGTGTTATTGCATATTTACAATTATCATGGGCCAAAGTATAAAATTAAAAGTTTATAAATATTTAATAGTGGGCAGCAATAGGGAAGGCTAGATAAAACCATAAGCGAAAATTGGTCATGTTTGCATTCAATGGGTCACGCAATCGATGATGATCGAAACCATGTGTGCAAAGGCTTCTAGAAACTGAACCACTGGATATAATGTAAAACAACAGCTCGCCTGAATAAATAGCTGGCTATGCTGCATAATAGCAAGTAAATCTACCGTATGTAAAAAGCCTTGATGTTATGCAAACTTGTACAAAAGGCGATTAGAGATGGTTTGCACAAATTCATAATTTAATTATGCGATGGTTTTTGGTTGGAGAGATTTCTAACTTTTTTTATGTGAAAGCCCATGTCTCGAACTATAGGTAAATATATTTGGCTTCCGGTGTTGTGCACTCTGGGGCATGAGGCAAGGTCAAATTTGCAGAGGTGTCCTTTTTTAGTTTTCCAAACCAGTGTTCTTATAAAATGGCGCCGAACAAAAGATTTTTTCTGAGGCCCTAGTGCAGAAATCGTCTTTGCGACTATTATCAATGGACTCAGCATGCCTTTCACTATATAAAAGTTTTATAAGATAAAAGTGGTTTTATAATAAAACCACTTTTATCTCATGCTTATCTTTTAAGCCCGTATTGTAGTTTAACTTCATACTTGTCCTATGGAATGCTCTCACGAACGCAACTCCTCGACTTTTAAGGCCCCCACATTTTAGGGCTTTGACACTAAAAATCCCAAACGTTGTTTATATCCAAGGTACATATAGTATATTGCACTGTAAGTACTTTTGATAAAATTTTGATAAGTGGTTACACCCTAGGAAATGAGTTTCCATCAAACCCTATAAAATTTTTACAAAAGTTCTCCTCGAAATTGAAGCGGAACTTAAACATTTTTTTAACTAATCAAAACGCAGTAATTTTATTATTTTGTCACTTGTACCTAGTAGGTAAAATAGTTCTGCAGCAGGGGACACAAAAAACTTATTAAAATTTGTTTTCAACAAAATTTGACTATTAATTTTCTAAATAAGTTCAAGAGTTTTTTAGGATTCCATGTCAGCTGATTAGCTCGGGTCCTTCTCCAAAACTGTTTACTCAAAATCATCACTGCTTAATTTAATATTACTTAGGACACTTAGAGCTTTGCCCTCAATCTTCATTTCACCCAGTCGGTCCGTTTTTAAGGTCAGGAGGTCAATTTCCCGGTGCACGGTCCGACTTATCACTTTTCATGGAAAAGTATCAGCGATGCTGGAGGGCCCACATTATTTTATTCATTACGGATTCTTTTATTATTAGATACAATCATTATCTAGGGTTATAATAATAATAATTTTTCACCTCTGACCTCTTTGGTTATCATGCCACATGAATAATTAAGTTTGGAAAGTGGGTTTTTGACACCTTCCAACTCTGGGGGCTCTGGAGGGGACATTTGTGAAGCTATCGCCTTAAAAATTTAGAGATATCTTTTTGAGAGTATTATCTTGCTTGTCTATCAAAATCAACTCAAAATTCGAATTTGCACCAGAGATATTCAAGCGCAAAGTCGTGAAAACCATGTCTAATCGCCTTTTGTAGATTGAGCATTACTTGTTCAAACTTTCACCGTTGTATCACCTCTTTGTGACGGTGAAAGCTATGTTTCGTATTTCACTCTGATTATATTTACCATACACATGGAAATATGTATGTATTGGACTGTTGGTATCGAGAAGAGAACAATTTTGACCACATAAACCCATCTTTTGAAACAATACATTTTGCACATGTCGCTGAAAAACTCTCTTCCTCTCAACAAAGTAAATGAGAAATCAATAGTTTGTTATTTAGCAAAAGTAAGACCGAGGAACGACTGTTATTTACTCTCCTCGCTTGGCTTCAGTGTATGTAATGTTATTTTACGAAATGCATAATTGATGGGGGTTGGAGCCGATGAGTTAAAGGTAGTTGGCAAACGTAATTCAGAACTGTCGCTCCGAATTTGTCGCCGATATTCATGCTCAGAAAGAACAACCCAATCCAATATTTGTGTCATTTACTTCTTCCCAGAATTGAACTACTTTTAGTAAATAGAGAAATATTGGTTCATTTATTTCTTGACCATCTATGAATGAGGAGTTTCTTTGTTGTACATACATAGTCAGAACAAAATCCTTATTCGCGTTCATTGGACCTAGAAATACAAAGTAATTTATTTTCCGTCCTCGGACCCTAACCTGTCATCCAGCCCCTAAAAACGTTTCTAGTTACTTTTTTCCTTGACGAAAATAAAAGCCACAAAGTTTCACCTACTCGCAATTCACTCCGAATAATTTTGCCTTTGATTTATTCTTTTGTACAATCGGTGTTTTTAGAAAAGGACACTATCGAAAAATGGGCATGTTACTTTCAAACTTGAAACAGCAAGGCAATCCACTTCAGGGATTTGGTCACAGCAATAATCGAGTAGGGATGGATCCGAACGATAATTCTGGTAAATTCTTTTCTAAAATTGCTGTCCACCTGTTTGATTTCAGCTCAGGAAAAGGTAATTCACCACTCGTAGAATAAATATTTATTTACCCATAATGTGAAATTTGGTTTAGTTTGTCTTACAATAAATTGATCTAGATGCAAATTCCAATGAAGTGTCAAAGTTCCCAGGAACAAAAACCAACTTTTTCATGTCACAAGGACAGAAAAAGCAGGCATGGGATAATGGTTTGTAATTTCAAACGAAGCGACCAATGTCGACACTTACATCTTTTCCATATAATATTTAGTATATATACATTTAAAGTCTGAGAAATGCAACATACAGGGTACATTCATAAACATATGTAATACGGTACAGCATAGTTAATGTATATATATGTGTATGAGTCCATTTTTATTCAATTTTTGATTTATTTCCCATTAAATAATTTTTATCAGCTTCCAAATCTGAACTCGGTTACAAATTGTTCATTTACATACTTTTATACAAAATTTTAGAAATTTCCACCCTAAATGTTGAAATTATTGGTACAAAACGTGGTATTTTAAGTTATGTTATTTTTTAAACTTATGTAATACGTTCCCTAATAAAAACTACTTAAATGCAATAGACTGTACCATAGCTCCAAGGTTTTGGATAATATTCGCACTCATTAATTGATCCACCTGCATTTAAAAACAATCGAAAAATTTGTTCAGCTAATGAAAATCAAACAAACTCGACAGTATTAAACAAAATTAAATACCTTCTCCTCCAAGTGACGCTTTGGGTCTTGTTTTCCTACATTCTTAATCGCAAGTTGTTCTGGAGTCATTTTCTCTTCATCCTCAAGAGCCTGCACCACAATTAAGGATTAATTTTAGTAAAACGTATCTTAAAAGTGTGTCACTGATCCTAGTTTTCTTAATTCTAAACAATTATTAAAATTCCAGCATCATTCATCATGGAATTTTTGGTTTACCTTATTATACGATTTCGCCAATTCCAACATGTTTTGCATGGTTTTCTCGTTCAAGCTACAATGCTCATTATAATCTTCGAGGCGAAGTCCATCCTCCCAAGATTTCTTGTTGAGATTTAACAACATCTTTTGTTCCAGCTCATTTTTCCTATAATTGATACTGATTGAGTAGTAATGACGATTCAAGCCGTGAATTAATGCCTGGATCGATGGTTTCTGCAAGTGACCCAAATTGGATGTAGTTTGACGAGGTTCCTGTCCCAAGACCATCATGTTTGGATTGATCAGTCTAAAAGCATCAATCACAACTTTCCCTAAAAACGAAGCAACATTATTTTAATTAAATATTGAACAACTTGTTAGAATTCAGTGAATTAAATTTTATCCTTGCTATTAATACCTTTCACAGACTGAATGGGATCCACTACAACGGCAACAGCCCGTTCACTCAGTGCTTCAAAACTCTGTTGAGTATTTATATCCACGCCAGATAACCAGCATCCAAACCCTTTACCATATTAAAAACAGCTTTAGGCAATGAATCTTGCTTTTTAATTAGTTAAAATTCAAGTACACACCTGGATGAGAATGGTACCACCCAACAACCATTTCAGGTCTTCCAGTTTGTCTCAACATATCTAACATCCTTGCTTGAAAAACTGGATCAACAGCTTCGACACTGACACCCTAAAGTCCAGACAATTCAAAATCAGAAAAATGCTAAAATATTTCAAACTACATAAAGTAAACAACAAAGTACTCAATCGTTACACCTACCGTCCCAGACTGAGGCATTGCAAAGACATCAATGACACGTACTGTATAGTCGTCAACGAACTCTCCCAACATGAGACCCATGACCTCCATCGGCACACCGGCTCGACCGTGTTTCAACATTTTAAGGAGGGCGAGCGATGAGATGTAAACCTGCTCAGCAGTGTCCACAATCGGCCCATCGGCTGGAGGGCCCCCTTGACCAAGGCCTACAATTACAAAGGTACCCGTATTATTAAATCTTGCTCAAGGAATAAACAATAAATAATTTGTAAAAAAATAAAAAATGAATGACCACCTCTACCTGGCATGGCTGCCCCCAATCTCAATAATCGATCCATCTTGTTTATTATTCGCAAACTTCTGTAAACCAAAGTTTTTATATTAGTAATGAATAATGAAAGACCTACAATTATAGTACAATTTACATTTATCACTCAAGCAAAAAAATCTTATTTGGTTTAATCTTACGACACGGAGTTCGACTTACCAATGTTCTGTGGGGTTCTCCTGTTAATGTCGTTCTTAATTTATGTGTGTTATGTTAAAAACTTTGAAATTTATTGCAATTTTTAAAATGTGAAATGCTTTCTCCGGCTGAATGAAATGACACTCTGTTCACTGTTTTGCACTGGCTGTGACTTGCACCTTTTTTGAGTTTTCCGTACCGCGAACAAAAATCTCATCTCTCCGCCTCTCATTCTCCACACAGGAGAAAACAGAAACGTGCAAAATTTGTATATCTTAATATTCTTAATTATTTTTGCAATAATTTCTGTGAAAATAAAAGTGGTGGCTCCCACGTTGTACATGGGACTTTCAAATTTATTCAAGTTATTGAGCTATATTATTTAAGCTATTAAAATCAACTAGAGAAAGTTAGTGGATATCAAAATGAGAAAGTTTGTAGTTTCATTCAAAAGTTAAAGACCAAGGATTGTTAATTGTCAGCATTTTGTATAAGCTATTCTTTAGTACCAGCTGCAAGAGTGGATTTGCGACAATTTTAGCTACTAATAGTCATAATCGAATGGAGAAAGCAAATGTAACAGATGACAAAGCTATACCGGCTAGACCCATTCCGTCCTGGAAGAAAGGGCCGCATGGAGTGGGTATGGAATTACATGAATAATTAATGAGTGTGAGAAATTCATTTTCTTTCGTAATGCAGGCGATCCTGATGATCGATCTCTTCGAAGAGTGGAAAAAGAAGTGACGATTCCCATGAAGATGAGAGAAAAAGGAAAATTAAAATGCTCTGAACAAGTTGCGGCTTTTAATGAATGTTGTAAACGCAGCAGTGTGGCAATGGTCGTGAATTGCCGTGGTCAAAATTTTGAACTCAAATCCTGTCTAACAAAATGGTATCAAGATGAAGACTTTAAAAAGGAATGCACGGAAGAATATTTAGCAGAAAGATCAGAGTATAGAAGAACAGGTATCAAGAAAAATCAGAAAATGTATGAGGCATAGGCATAAAATATGCAAGCAAATTTTAGTTGAACCACCGACTTTCAATGTTGTCAGGTTGAAGTTACATAGTCGTGAGATAGGTATTACGTCCTAGTGATAATATCTTCCTGTATGAATTATTATACTGTTTATACAATATACAGATATGCGAGAAAATAAAATGTCCCAAATATCACTGCAAAAAGCTTTGTAGAAAGTATGTTGCAAAGCATAATATTTGTTATTTGTGTATCGCCAAATTAGTATATATCTTTATATCACCTTAATATCACAAGTATGGATGAAATACGAGTTACTCGCCTAATTAATTATACAAATACTTGGATTAAAATAATCGCTGAGTAAATTTTCCCATTGATATAAGTTAGTGAATCTTTTTGGCGTTCTGAAATGTTTGACGTATTCAGTCAGCCTTTGTTGGTCCTTCAAAAGGACCAACCATCAGTGATGAGTGTCATAAAATGAGCTGTAATTCAACTAAAGAATGCAACCAACTGAATGAATGAAGTCATATGCATGATGATAGAAACTGGTAAACCATGTAGAAGTGCATATAAATAACTTCATCCATTCCTTCTTGCATTTGCATGTCATGTCAACCCATACGTACATATGTTCGTCTGTCTGTACATACATATGCTCCCAGATTACGGACTTCAACGAATCATGTATGTAAATAAATTCGAAGCTTACAGCTGGGTAAAGTTTCAGCTCATGACATATTCAAATATTAAAAATATGTCGCATTATTATCTCCACGAAAATTGTAAGCTTTTTAAGTGTCCTGAATACTGAATACATGTTTTTTACAACGCCGTCTCGTGCTGTCAGACAGGTAGCTAAAGTGTAGAAAGTGGAGAAAGTTCTTCAGAGTGTCGCTCATGGTGTCGGAACAAATATATAAATGCGATTTCTCCCTTGTCAGATTTTCCCAGGTATTCATCCTTTGATTAATTATACTAGATATTCTATAATTAAACTATTTATAGAAATGTGCATCTCGTATCTGTTTTTCTCATCACTCATTGACACGATCGGATTAATATTATTTACACAAGATTACATGCACAACAAAATGTCAAACAAATTTATTCTACGAGGAATGGAAACGTTATACAACGTTAGATATCTAATATCTTATTTATATGGTAGAAAGTTACAAGTGAAAGTCATCAGTGCTACATCAGGTCTCAAAATGTCGACTGGGTTGGTGTGTCATGGTGTGGTGGTAAGTGAGATCAGAGAAGTGGTTTTGTTGGCATGTGCATGTTGTCCTTTGACGTGTTGTCACATCCGCGGAATCAGCATCCGCCGTCGAGCTGGAGGTAAAAGTTGGTGGGACGTGTGAGGAGGAAAGAAAGTGAGGAGGAGAAAGTCAGCCTCGATTCTCCACTCCACCGCATTTCCCAAAGTTGATGATGAGACTGACACCACTTTACTTTCTCCCGAATGCAATGACGTTTTCCGAGATGAGACGCGACATTCGACTCACACGTCCCTCGTCCTTTGAAGTCTCAAGTTGATAATGTTACATCATCAGATCCTCTCCCATCACGCCTTGTTAGGCTCCAGCGTGAACAGGCAACCCAACCATGCCAAATCTGGCCAGGACACAATCACCTCGCATCTTTATCACTCTCTCGCTCCGGCGATGAATAAATTACTCTGCCAAGTAGATCACTGGATCAGAGTGTGCAGGAAACTAAAAGCAATTATGATTCTTTTATCTTCAGTTTTTATATGGATTTGGAATTCATGGAACCTTGAACATTTTAAGGATTACATTGGAAAACGTAGAGAAAATTTCCATTTTGCATCCGTTCCCTTTTCATGACAGTGAAATCATCAATTTGCGACAACGCATTTATCTATATAAATATATGTACGTATGCATATGCATAGCGGAATAGACAACGCTGCATGGTCTCACATTTTTCGATCGAGTACAGCGAACTTATTCTACAGATATTTTTATTCTCTGCAGCTTACATGCTCAAATTTTGGACTCATTTCAGAATAAGATAACCAAGCGTCAAGAGAAAGCAAGGTACATCTTCATCCATTTAAGCGTGCCAAACCAAAATACTGATTTTTTTATCGAATTCATTCTTTTTGCTTCAATTAATAAGATGCCGAGACATTATTGTCCTCGCCTAACCAGAGTGAACATGATTTCGTTCGCATCCATTCCACTTCATCCTGTCTGGGTAAGCCTGCCAAGAATTCTTCTGCCCACTACGCCTACCACCACCACATTAATAAAAAGTATGTCGAGGAACAATGCGATTGGGGGAAAATCGCGAGGGTGTAGACAGAATTCTAAATTCTCAACAAGTGCTAATGGGCTCTCCTTGGGATTATCTGACGATGGCGGAGGGAGGAATGTGGATTTTTTCGGGACAAGGAGGAATTTTTGTTCCGCATCCAACGGATTCCGCGTATCGGAGGAGGTCAGGGTGGGAGTGGAGCAGGGGAAACCTGTCGTAGCCTTGGAGTCCGCCATCATCACGCATGGAATGCCACATCCACACAACGTCGAATCTGCTCTCCACTTCCAAAACATCGTTAGAGAACTGGTGTGTCCTTTCTTTCAAATTTTACGTATTTGTTACATGAATAGCGAATGGAGGTTGGATGGATGGATGCAGCATGCGAATGTATTTAATAACTACACATTTGTTTAGGGTGCAATTCCAGCCACAGTGGGAGTAATACAAGGTCAGTTAACTGTGGGCCTGTCCGATGATGAAATCGTCAGTTTGGGATCCACCAGGGAGAAAAATGATCGGGCTGTGATAAAAATTTCTAGAAGAGATTTGCCAATCGCGTTGTCTCAAGTAAGTTCTGAAAGAATGTTCATCCGAATTGTCCTTGTGCAATAACTTTTATTTCTATAAATTGAAAAATTAAATAAAATCTAGCATAAATTAATTATCCAATTAATTTAATTCTCCAGTAATTTATTTACAATGTTCTTGTTGAAATAGAGACTGAATGGTGGGACAACAGTGTCAGGAACTATCATTGGAGCCGTTAAAGCTGGAATTCACATTTTTGCTACTGGTATGCATACAATAATTTCAACTAGAAATGTGTCAGCCTATGTATAAATATGAATGTACATATGCTTTGAATCCTTACCTTTCACCCTTCTCCACCCTCGAGCATTTTGTCCTAGCACAATTTGATTTAGAGTAAATGCAGAAATGCATGCTTTACGTGCATTCACAGCCATGTACAGCTTTTTCCTTCCTTGTTGTCGTGCAGGAGGAATTGGTGGAGTGCATCGTGGGGCCGAGACAACTTTCGATATTAGTGCAGACCTTAGAGAATTGGGAAGAAATCAGATCGCCGTCGTTTCCGCAGGCGTCAAATCTATTTTGGACATTGGGAAAACTCTAGAGTATTTGGTTCGTTATTGGTTCTGGTCATTATGAATAATAATAATGATAAATCACTCCCCTCCATTAATGACAAAGTTCTGAGGAAAAATTCCAATCTTGTTTGATATTATGTAATAACTATGCTTACATGCTAATGTGAACCCGATGAGTCACGAGTCACTTATAAGGATGTGGTTGGCTCCTGGGTGAATATGCAATCTTGATAATTAAGTTTAATCAGCAAGGAAGACTATGCTCTTTCCGAGGAAATATTTCCAAGAAATATTATCGAGTCTTTTAAGGAGAAATGCACATCTCCCAACTAAGTAATTTGTTTTTTAGGAAACGGAAGGTGTTTGCGTGGTCGTGCTGAAGAAAAAGGAGGAGAAAGGAGAAAGATATAATGAGTCGGATGTTTGTCCTGAAATGGAAATTGAGGGAGATGTGCCAAAATCCGGGCAAATTGGCAGGGTTAAATTTCCATCATTTTTCACTGCCGAAAGCCAATTTGCAGCTCCTTATTCCTTGTCCGATGAGCTCCAAGCTGCTCATCTCGTTAATTCTTCAATAAATTTCAAACTAAATTCGGGCATCTTGATTGCCATCCCAATTCCTAAAGTAAGTCATATAGTTTGTGCGAACCTATGCTTTTTCCACCTCGTTCTTATCAACGGGTAACGATAATATTAGTGGCATATGGTATTTATACGCTAAGATTTATGCGCTATTCATTCGTGCAAACGAATGGCCAAAACGTTTTTGTTATTGCCGAGTGTTGAGAAATGTTTCCGGTTGCATGTAAATTCTATGAGAATATTTTTCGGGTCTAACTGAAGGCGATGATCAATTGCAGGAAGACCAAGGTATCTGGGCTTAGCACACAATGGGAATGAAATGTGCAGAGTGTTACTATCCTACATATTTTAAATTTCAAGCTGGCAGTATCCGTACGGTCATGGTCGTTTAACCCGAAGGGAACCTGCTTTATGAGCCGACCAGTAAGATTTTGTCAACCGGAGAGCAACTCCATTTGAACCTTATCAAGATGAAGCATAAAATATACGTATATGGTATACGTACATACGTACGTATGTACATATTGCACTCATCCCTCTCTTTAGCTATCCTTGAATTTGATATACAATGCTGAATGGAAGAGAAAAAGGCATTCAGCAGAGGCTTAAAATGTGTACTTGAACCAAAAATATTTTAAGAGAAAGCTCCATTACGCAAAAGGGGCGTTGAAACGCTGTTGAAAATGCTCTTAGAAAAATAGGATGAACGTATGTAACATACGGCAATCTGGTATGCGAGACTGCTCTATATTATTACAACCGCAAGGAATTTTTATATCAAATACGTAGTGCCCTTATGTGCATACGTACGTAGGTTAGGATCCTATTAAGGAAAATGAATCCTCTCTCTTTGTATTTGTATTATTCCTACATACGTTTTTTAGAGATTCAATAACATCATACATATTTAATTCGGCCGGTTCCACCTTGCTTTCAAATGTGTAAACGAGCACAGCCATGCACATCTAACCGTTGCACTGGCTTCCTTCCAATTTAAATTGCGTATCCAAGCATCTACATTGAGCTGGAGAAAGTGTTTTAGAACCACAAGATGCGGTATCGAGTAAGTAAATTAGTCACGGCGTGGTACGACAATCTTTAGCCTTTCGTTGAGTGTCGCTTTGGGAGGTGGAGGAGACGCCTCAAGGAGAACAACTACATACAAATGCACATTTTCTCTGAGCCTTTATTCCATGACCACCATTATCATTCCCAGCACTCATTCCGCCTTCGCAGGCAGCAGTTGCATTCGCATCTCAAACTTGAATTCTAACTTGACAATATATATGCAGACTTCCCGAGCGATCTTGTACCGCAGGAGCATGTGGAAAACCACTTGGAATGATGCTACGATGCCATCATCCCCATGCTCTAGCACCATACATATATTTCCATTTTCTAACAATTGCCACTCATTTCTCCAAGAACAAAAGCCATGTATTTTGCGATCGTATTATCTAACTTGCAATCTCGCGTCCTTTTCTGGTTGATGCATTTTAAAATATGGCAGGCACACTTAAACTCCAATACGATCCGAGACCATTTTTTTAGCCCTTTCCTTTCCAAGAAAGAGAAAGCGAGAGAAAGCGAGAGAGAGAGAGGAGTAGATCCTTAACTTGGGAAGTGCAATGGTTGCGAGTTCATTGATTTTTACCTAAAAAGAAAGACGACAGAGAGGAAAAAAGTTTGCCTTAAATCGACCGTATCACTCTAGACCATTTTACATCTTGACATTTGTAGTAGTAAATGCGAGGAATGTACATAATGCAATGGCGATGGAAATGTGCTCGCCCTTCAAGTGCAAAAAAAGAGGAAGAAATGTTTAAATTTTTATCAGATACATAACTGACTTTTTTCTTCCACGTTTTGGACCATTTCCAGGAAGGTGAAGCGTTGGTGGGAGGTGAGCGGATTGAGGAGGCCGTGAAGGTTGGGCTGAAAAGGGCTCGCGAGTTGGGCATCGAAGGCAATGACCAATTATAATTTATTTGTTTAATTTTTAAGTGTTTGAGGGTTTTTTAATTTGCAATTTTGCAGGGAAAGAAACAACCCCGTTTCTTCTGGCCGAGGTCAACCGTGTCACTCAAGGCTCCTCACTCGCTGCCAATAAATGCCTCGTCGAAAATAATGTCAGATTTGCGACACAAATTGCCATCCTTCTCGCCAAGCTGAGAAGGGGAACTAACATGATGTCTCACGATGGGGAATCAGGTATGACATCCACGTCGTGACACACACACAAAACTTCTGTACAATTTATTTGAATCGAAAAAAAAACACACAAAATAATGAGGCAGAAGTACTACTTGGAAACTATTTTATAATCTTTGGGGTTTGTACATAAAACGTTTCGGTGCTCGTGACATTTATTTGCGGGAGCGGACTGAGGACGATTTTAGGATATTTCTGTCAAACATTACATGATCGCTTGTCTGATGGTTATATGTATGTAGAGGTTTATTTATGGATCTTTAATATTTTGAGCTAAGGAAAAAGTTTGTAAATGAAAAAGTGCATAAATGTCTGAGAATTTTTTCAGTTAAATAAATTAAAATCGTTCGTGTCCATAAGAAGATGAGATATTCGATAGAACGGCGACTTGAATGACTTATTGTCGTTAAAGATCATCCATTTTGGCATCTAAATTATTCCTCTTATCTCTGGCTAAACTTTATTTGCCACAAAAATATCCATCATTTCTGCCTCATGAATGATTAAAGGCTCCCAAAGTTATGCCTTTTGTTACTTTTCAATGCAATACGAATAACAATTTAGCTAAAAAGATAAAATTTGAACTGACAGGAGGATCCAAAGGTCGAAAGCAATGTGTCAAAGTTGACTCGAATCGGTGCAAAGCAAGACTGGCGAATCAATCTATGGAAAATACCACCAGTATTTTCAGTGACAATGAGAAAATAGTTGACAATCCGCAAGGGAATATTTCACCCCAACGAGATAAAAGATTTATAGTTTCCGAAAAAACTTTGGGCAAATTGGACTCTGGTGGTGCTGGGAAAGTGAATGCTGAGGTGGGAGAAAGTGGAAACGGATGGCTGGCTGTGCGTCACAAAAGACCTGTGAGTGAAAGTGGATAATGATCTTATAAATCAGGTTTAATAAGTAATCTCCGGCCTCGTAAGACAATAACTTTTCTATTTCTAATAAAAGCCATTGTCTTCATTAGCAATAATACTTCAAAAATAATTGAACCTTGATCTGATTACCTGCCCGTCATTTCCAACAGGTTGTAGTGGGAGGGTCATCGATGGACCTCATAATGTCGGTTAAGGAGCCAAACATTTTGGTAAGACAGCATTTTTCGATTTAGTTATTAATCGTTAATTTTGCTTGATATTTCTAATATCTTCTACATACATTAATTTTTGGAAGCATCAAAGATAAATCATACATATGAGCAAGCTTTTGGTTCTGCATATATTGGCCAATTACATAAGTACACATTACCATGATGGACATAACTTATGGGTTATAAAGAAAAATCAAGTCCATTGGTATGTACATATGTAACTCAAAATCAGTTTTCATCAGCGTCGCCGTGATCGATTTTCCTTCTTACTAACAACTCATTTTTATCTGGGGAGTAATAGATTTGTTGCTGTCGACATTTTTCATTTGTGGCTCCAAATCACATTAAGATAAGCTGGCAGAGTTTAAGAACAAATGGAGTAAACAATTCTGTTTTGTCGAGTTTGGCTCTGAATGAGGCTTTATTATCAACCCGTTGACGCTAATGGGTTCATAATCATAATTCATTTACTGTACAATTATTGCTGTTTCGATCACAATCGTCGTGTACACAACCAATGAGTTAAGGTAACGTTGCTCAAACACTTATAAAAGGAGGGGGATCTAACTCCTGCAATCAATGAAAGTCCAAGTGCAAACTATTTTATAAATTGGTCCAGCATAGCGAAGCATCATATCAGTTTGAGAACTAAATGTTCCCAAGGTTCTGTCACTTGAGTGGCGAAAGAAAAAGAGAAAGTACTGACGACGCCTATGTACTTAAATCACTCCAAAGTGTTTCTTCACACGGGGTGATTCTGGTCTCTGTCCACTTGTGTGCTCTCCCAAATCCAACCAATATCAATCTTCCCAAGTTCACCCAACCAACCTGTCGACCGGTTTCTTCTGGAGGAGGAGGATTATTGTTGAAAGCTTGCAAAAAGGAACGGGGATTTGTCTCCTCGTCAATAGTTTGTCTGTGGATGGATGAAGGAGTAGATGAATGGCTCAAGTGAGCTACGTGGACTTATTTGATTTACTGGCCTGTCACCAACAACAGTATTGAGAAAGAAGAACTTTCCGACTTGATGGCATTGCGATACAAAAGCTTTTTGCTTTAAAAAAGAAAAATTTAGTTCGAGACTTGGCTCCTGTTCACTTTCCACGACACAAATCCACTCATTTTCACCTTCGACGTCTTTTCTCCTTTGATCGAAAGATAGAAAGATGCCTTTTGGGTCTTGGTAGCTGAACTGAATGAGGACGAAAGACGGAATCATATAATTATTGTCACATATGTACTATCAGCTCAACAGTACCAACTGAAATGCATGTACGTATATATGCGCTGTGTGGTTCTGATGGGGCTAAAGTTCATTCCCAATGACCTATGGCACGTAAGATAATTATTGCAAAGGTCAATGTCAATCCTCCTGCCATCAATTATGGGACTTTGCATTAATAATAAAATCACTTCCTCAAACACATTTCCCTAAATTACAAGGGATCGGGAGAGTGGGAAAAAAGTTGGAAAAAAGTTGTCCTAGATTTGGTTTAGTGATAAACTGGCAGTTAAAGTGCTTTCTTCTGTTGCCTGCAGGTGACAGTCGTAATTGAATGTTTGATGAACCCTACTTCTGCGAAACTTCTTTAGCCCCTCCTGCAAGGACCACCACAAAGAGAAAGGAGAAAGCACGGAGCTCTATTGACAGATGGCCATAAATAAATATCTTCTCGGAGGGACATTATTGTAGGAAAATGTGCAGAGCAAATTGACATTTTCACACAGCTACATTCCTCAGTAATCTATTTTTCTAATCAATCTAACCTTCTCGTACGTAGTGTGGGCTGAAAAAGTAGTTCAAAACAAAGCTCCATCACTAATCGTAAGAAATAGATGAGACCGTCGTGGTAGTGTGTCGTAGCAAATGAGAAACTGTTGAGTAAACTTAGATAACTGCCCTTGAATTAAGTTAGATCAACCGATCTGATGATATTTTTTGCAAAGGTGAGAAAACAAAACTCAGCCTGTAGTTTTTTAATAGATTTCGTTTTTAAATAACCTTTTATTAACCAGATAATGACATATTTTATACATTTCTCAAGAATTCAATTTCGTTTTAATTGCAAGTTCCTTGCACTATTTATATACATGTAAATATGTATACGTCCCAGTACAATACAGTAGTTGAAAATATCTGGAGCCACGAATGCTTTGGTTTACAAATAAATATGTAGCTGTAATCAATCAGTAATACGAATAAGCATTTTTCCAAAACCAGTCCTTCGTCCTTATTTTATACCTTATCTTAATATTTTACTGTAGAAAAATCATACAGACCTATTATTGATAAGTACATAATTAACTGCAACAAGAGTAAATACTATAATATGCAAATTGACGAACCAGAAATATTTACTGTAAAGTGTAGTTAGATACATAGGTCAAATATCCGTTTACATTTTATTTATACTATGTCTTTATTGAATATATCTCTCGTTTATTTATTATTACTACAAGTAGAATAATAGTTATCTTCTCTCAAATACTTAATTAAACTAGATTTCTGCTCTCATTTTGATCCTATCATTCTTTTGACTTCTTCGGTTTAAATTCTCTTATTACTACATAATTGAATCAGGTTAGCATGCCACTCAAGTTGTGCATTGTAAGATAAGCGTGATATTATGTTACGCCGAAGAATCACAGAAAAAATGACAATTCATATTTATACTTTACGGGGGTGGTCAGACGCCTCATAAATGGAGATAAATAGAGACCGCGGCGGTAGCAGATTCAAGGCTAATTGCCGACATGAGTAGATGTTCAACCCATCATCCAGGACGTTGATATTTAAACACGGCCTTGTGTTTCTACTTTGTTAATTCTGCACATGTAATATTTGCCAACACATAATTAGCATGCGAGTAAACATTCGAGTACTGTCAACAATGGAGAAATATGGCTGGCGCTATGCTTGCTAAAAACGTGAGTGAATTAAATATGTACGTTCTATACAAAATAATATGTCGAGGTACTTGATAATTTTGTCCACAGAATTCTGCGTCAGTCTGTATCTGCCCGTCTGTCTGTTTGGTAATGAAATTGGAAAGGAATGCTTCTCTAAGCGCACCAAATATACACATGTCCCTAACTCCTCCTCAACTCGGGAGAAATGCCCATGATTATCTCATTGAACAATAAATAGTAATTATGTCAGACGGAGGTATTTTGCAAGTTTATTTCCAACTTAACTCAAATGGGCTTCCCTTGTGGGTTGTCATAATAAATTTTTATTAGCACGTCGAAACCAACTTTAAGTTGCACATAGGAGTTGGCCGTCTATCTCCCACCCAACATATATCCTTTATCTATATATGTATGTTCATACCACATAAAGCAGTAGTTTTAGCAGGCGGGGGGATAAGACGGATTCCTTAAACTATTCGACGAGTACAGCCGCCTTCACATGATATGCTCATTTCTCCACACGGTAGCCCTCATGCTATTCAACATAATGTGCTCATATTCCAATGCAGTTTAGAATTGTTCATTTGTTCACATTCTTGGTTCCCCTCTTAACATTCCAGTTTTTTCTTACTCAAAGCAGTATGGAAGCAAAGGAATGAAAGGAGAACAATATGAAGCAGTAAAATACGGACGCGCCAGCTTTACCATTGAACCGATTCGGAGGTATATGTGGAGTGTGTTCCGGTATTTGTATGTAGTGCCCTTTACTAGTGGTACATAGATACATACATATGTACATACATAAGCTGCGTAGTGTGTAACATAAATTTGCAGAGATGAATTAAAGGAACATGCAACATTAGCAATGCTAACTCGAGTTTATGTAGTAAATACGAGTCATATATACATATAAAGTATGATAAAGTTTGTTATTTCGTGTGATTATGACGCATTGGTGAAGCCACGGAATTAGACACTGTACACTTGGGCGAAGCAATAAAGAAAAGCATTATTATTGTGCCCAACTGAGAGATACAGAGAACAATTAATGGCGTTTTAGTGTGAATCTATCATTCATGTTGAGACAGACAGTATGTATATGTAGACTCTCTACGGCGTTCCAAAAAACATGCACCGTGGTTCGTTTAGCACTCTGCTAATTAAATAATTTATATAACTGGTCGTATGGTGGAAAACTTTACCAAACTACAAACGAAATCAGGAAAACTATGTAGACGCAAACTGACGGAAGAGTGAAATTATTTTTGCAATGGGAGAAAGCTAAAATAAAATGAACGGATTACATAAATAAGACCGACGACACGCTTTTGTTTGAATCACCGACCACCACACCCACATTTTGTACCTACTACAAATATCGTTTCGCCATGCTATCCATGCAAAAGAAGTATAAACTGGACTCAACAATTTAGCGGATTTGCTAGCTTTTTTTACTCACTGTTATTCTGTCATCTGACTGCGTGTGAGCGTGTGGTATTGACAGTGGGGTAAAATTTGGCTGATGTTGTGTTGATGTTCAATTGGCGAATGTTTGACAGTTGATGAATTTTTCATGTCACTTGCCAGATCCCTTTGTAGATAGGCATGGAAGAGTAGTAGTAGTATCTAGAAGTGGTTGGTCGTTGTATGGTGTGCATTGTACATGTGACTAAGAAAAGCATGTCCTTTGAGCCATCAATATTTGTCCTTCTTTATCCTACATTTTCTGCCTTTCTCCAGTTCCTTAGCCCATTCGAGTACATACATATTGGGAAAACTCAGTCAATCTAACCACAAGCGCAACATAAAATTCGCTGTAAATTACTGTGAATTGAATCGAAAAGAAACAACTGTATTGATTAACGAACAATGCGGAGAAAGTCGCATAATCTACATGTGTCGTTGGGGCTGGAGAATTGGTTAGAAAAGGAAAAGGGAACGGTAATGAATATTAATGCGTTCGTAGGAAAGGGGAACGTTTGCAAAAATTGCATTGATTTGGATTTTTGATTGGATTTGGTTGGATTCTGTCAGAGTTGAGGTTTTCTGAGTTCTGGTGGTGCAGTACATGGACACAAGGTTTGTGTTCTAGGAGAAAGCTGAGCCGGCGATTGGATTAAAAATGCATAAGATTAGAAGGAGCAACTGATAATGTGAGTGAGAAATGGTTGGCTTTGGGGAGACAAAAAGAGAGCAGACGACAGAAGAAGATACAGAAAGACACGACATGCACAATTTTGGTAATTCAATTTACTCTGTAATTTACCATTTTGTATTTCCCTTTTCTACTTTTCCTCGTCAGCAGCCATCGGTTGACATTTAGAAGGAACCAAAAAAAGAAAGGAGAAAAGGAAGGATTCATTCAGGTATCACGTAACGTATGTACATTTGTCAATTCGTTCGTACTCTCAACCAGCGATTGTTCTACTTTAGGATACTTTAGGATTTTATTTCCAATAGGAATACATTTTTTAGTAGACTCGGGACTCGTTTATTATTCAGTAATATTAGGTTAGACGAGATGTCACGACACTTGGATCATTTGATTATCGTTTGATTACTAACATACAGTTTCGCAGAATTATATGGATTTACGAAGGTTAAAATGTTGATGAACTGTGTCTTGAGATGCAAACTACCACATAGTTTCCAATAACCTGACGTTTCTATATATTTCTAACGTGTCAGATTTCGTCGAACTGATAATCTACATAAATAAGTAAATATGTAGTATATGATATCCTTTACAACTATGTACTTATAATAAAATCACTATAATATCATCACAGAAAATTTGATATTGTATCAAGTATACCCATACCGTAAATATACACATATGCAACAATAATAAGTTACGTGTTCATGCCAAATATGTATGTACGTTATGTATTTATGTGTGGTTATCAATAGTTTTCTATAAAAATACAGTTAAGGTGAGGTTAGTTAATCTAGCAATTTCTACTCATTCAATTATTTTTGTCCTAAATGGACGGCCCATCTGAATAACCATCATCAGCAAACGCTTGTTCAACGCAAGTTAGTAATCACTAGTAAAGTATGAAAGTGCTTCAAACATATTCGATCAGAATCGATTAAAAAATAATAATTTCACCTCAAACTGGAGAGACATGAGTTAGTCACAATAGAAGACAAGTGAATAATAACACATAGCGATGGTACCTTAGATCAGATGTATGTATGCATGATATGACCTTGTCGCCCGCCATGTCCTTCTGTGATAACCATCATGGCTTGATCATAAGTATATTTATATTCTATCAATTTAATGCAAACGATGGTTTTGGTAACTACTTAATGTACACGTAATCTTGCCTGCATTAATTAATTGTACCCTTAGCACGATTAATTAATTATCTTCCTATGACATTTCGAGATTATGACGTTTAACTCGCCAGATCGATTAGGATGCCTTCAGTTAAGCTTTAGCCATGGAGTCGATGGGGATGGGAGCAGAAGCAGAGCCGGTGACCCCACCAAGTCCGGTCGTGTTGTTATTCCCATTTCTTGGAAAAGCCCTCCCCCCGTTCTCATTCCTGAACTTCCTCCCTAAATCCGTATGGAGTGTCCTCCCCCCGTCGTCACCTTCATCGTCACCATCATGCTGCCTTCCCCGGCTATTGATGCTGCACCCGGCTACCACGGTTGTGGTCGTTGGCGTGATCGGAATCCCAACCTCAATGGACACGTGGTTGCCCAAAGGGGTTTTATTCCTGCTGTGATTGCCCACGTGGTTCCCCGCGTGACAATTGTGATGATCTCTGGCACTAATCACACTGTCTTTCCGTTTATCAGCCTCTATTGCATCGATGTTGGTGTTGGCCATGGAGTCGGTGGCACAGTGCTGACTGCCACCTGAGGATGCCATGAGGCCCTCTCTCTCCCCAGGCTCGTCCTCGTTGCCCCCTTCATACATGGACGTCAGCCCGATGAGCTCGTTCATGGCTGCCGTGCGTCCATCATCTTCTCCGTTGAGGAGCTTAATTTTCTGAACCATTTCTTTAATTTCATATCTGAGTATGGCCACAAAACACCCCTTGACAAACACTATGATGCAAAAGCCGACCACAAAGAGGATATCGGATGACTGGTCAAGCCAATCGAGCACTTTGTCCCCACACTGATCACTATTGAGAGTCATTGATACCAAAATGTAGGGCTGAGCTAGACTTGGAGGAGGTAGGGATGAGCCAGAGGTGGGATAGGTTGTCGTGGAGAAGGATGATGACGATGACGACGTGGGTGTGGTGCTGTGGTCACCACTGCTCCAAGTGGTGGATTCAAGTACGGAGAAAGTTGAAGGTGTCGAGTAAGAAGACGACAATGGAAGTTCGGTAGAAGAGGAGTGCGAGCCTGAAACTTCTTCAGACGAAACCCCACCGCCACTCCCCTCGAAGAACGAATAACTGTCTATAATCGTATCACTAACTTTAATATAAATATTACTTTTGTACGTGGCTACAAGTTCTGGGGGCAGTCCACACACTCCGAACTGAGGGGCTCTTCGACTGCTTGATGTCTCTGTCGTGGTTTGTACATTATTGAATCGATGAGGGTGCGGATTTTGGCTGGGGTCGGGACCACGGTTGTCGTGCTTCCTGGTGCTGTGTAGAATTTTCCTTCGGTTATGAGTTCCTGTCCCAGTGCCGAAGGAGTTGAGGTGCACGTTGTGGTTGTTTTTGGGTGAGGTAAAGTTATTATTAGTGCTGTAATTTGGGGGGTAGTTCACTCGGTTTGAGCGGAGCTGTTGTTGCTGGAGAGAAGGGTGGGGTTTTAGAGATGGTGGAGGATGGAATAGCGTGGGAAATGGTGTAACTGGGACATGTTTAGATACTGTGAAGACACAACATGTTGATGGAAGTTTTGGATGATGGAACCCTGAAGAGATATCCAGAGGCAGACCATTACTGTCAAAATGGCTGGAGGATGAGTCTGTAATTCAATTTTAAAACAAAGCTTATTACTTGTCAGTCATAATAATAATAACATAAATCGTGGTTAACGTTCTAATGGGTAGGACGTGGCCCCATGATATCGGTGGGATCCGTATTCACACAATGCGAACTGTTTTTGAAGCAACTTTCACAATAAAGTTGCTTAATTCACTTTCAGTTTGGGGCGAACGGGCTGCACGAGGCCGTTTAAAATAAAGTGGACAGAGCAGACTGTTTGCCTCAAACGCTTCAGAGCTGTAAATTGGATAAATAAATGGAGCTGACACAAAAGGATTGAAATCCTATTAACTTGAATAATAGGACTTGGACACGTGCACACAACAAAGTGTGTCTGGCGAACTTATTCGTTATGCAATAAATACATTTTCGAAAATTTAGACTTGTAAAATTGCTTTGAAAACGCGTATGTGCTGGTTATGAGATTATGCTCCACATGAGACGGCAAGGGCTAAGCATTATAAAAGCATTTTACAGAAGTATGTGGGATCGAGATCTATTAGGAAAATGTGAAATCGATTAATTACTTGCCCCCTTACTGGTAAATTTAATGTTACGTAAATCCATTTTCATCCCTCAACCACGGTGCTTGAATTGCTTAGATATTTACGATTCTTTTGGAATATGTATGTAGATGAGGCACTTGTTAAGCTGACAAATTTTTAAAATGTTTCACCGAGGATGAGTTCACCATCCGATTGTGTTTTATGATTTTGTTTTATTACGCATAGATAATTCACTGCACATAAGTGAAGCCTGCTTCGGAGTTGATCAAAGTATTTACCATGTTACTTATACTCTAACTGCCCATCGTAAATCATTCATGGGGATTTACTAAATTGCCACAGTACTATGTTTTGCATCAAACTAACTTTTTGTAAAAATTTACATGTTGGCAGAAATTGCGTGAGAGACAGATAGATGAGACTGAAAAAAAATAATTGGCTTGCACAGAACGAACTTATTCTGGACTGATATTAATGAAAAAACCAACTAAGAAACAGTAAAATGATGAATATAACTCTAAAGAGTGGACAATTTTTTTTTCACTCAAGTAATTTGTTTATGACATTTATCCAGTATTAAACGTTATGGTCCAATGTGAGATGTGAGAAACCGCCCACGAAATACATGTACATATTTTATTTTAATGCAAGTATATAGTGTGTATATTTCATTCGCGTGTGTTTCGTTGGAACATTTTTCTTCCAATAGCTTATTATAGGAGTCTAACTTCTCCACATCAATCATAAAATTATAAACAGATTTTATAATTTGATTGCAAAATTTTTCGCAACTATTGATGTAAGCAATGAAAAGATAGTAGGATTAAAGTAATGAAACGGGCAAACTTATTGATAACCTCCAACAAAGGTTAGTTGTTAAAAATAAGCTGAATCCCACGCACTTGTACTCATCAGTCATCGACAGATCTTCGTAAGCAACATACATACATAGTTGCACAATTTTGCACAAATTTTGCAATGTCTAGCTACACATCTTGCAAATTTTTGTGGCTCATCATTTTATCCATAATAATTGTTTCTGATGGACAAAGGTAAACATACACATGCATTCTATACTTTTAGCCGGGAGCCAGCAGGGTTCTAATCTATTAATAAAACCTACAGTGCAGACTCCATATAGCCCGAGTCAGGGACAGAGTCACTGACTCCTCCAGGGTCACTCTGGTTAAAATTTGCTCACTTTTAGCTTCATATCCTTTCGTGAGAAGCCATTAGGTATAACCGTGCCAGATTTAATGTTTTTAAAGTAATTTCTAAAAATTGGTATGGGTCACCCCATAGGGTCGCTCCAGATAAGAATTTTACCAATTTCATGCCATATTCTTCTATTAAGACCCATTAGCAATCTATCTACCAAATTTCAGCTTGGTATGACGATTTTGAAAAATCGGTATGGGTAACCCTGTAGGGTCCCTCAAGATGAAAATTTTTCCAACTTGAAGTCATTTCTATCTATTAGGAGCCATTAGCAACCTCTGTACCAAATTTCAGCTTTCTACGACAATTTTGAAATTTTGGTGCATAATACCCCACCCACTCCGATGACCCCCACCGGTCAACCACTTGACCGATTTCGCCCATCTTCGAGCTCGTTTCCTAATTTTGTCCAATATGCATATGGTAAAAATTTCAAGTCAATCGGTTCAGCCGTTTTGGCTCTATCGTGCCGGACAGACGGACGGACATGACGGTTCCATAAGCCCTGACTCGGGCTAAAAATATGAATCATTTTGCCATGTCTATCTGTTAAATTTCTATATTTAAATTCTGCCAGCATAACGAAGCAGTACTCTTCATATCGTCCTATGCCACTCTGCAACCCATCCGACTATATCCGCTACCCAACAACAATTGATGACGTGGTTGCTATTGTTCAAGAAGCTATTTCCAGAGGCGTCAAGGTTAAAGCATTCGGTGCTCGTCACTCTCAGACCGACATTATTTGCACCGAAGGAATTCCAATTGACAATCATGGGCTTACATTTTACCAACTAAATGAGGATGGAACAGCGACGTTCGGAGCTGGGGTAACTCTGCACGATGCGACCGAATTCCTACGAAACAATGGGAGAGCATTTAGAACAACCCCAGCGTTTGGGAATATTACCATGGCTGGTGCCATTGGGACTGGAGCACACGGGTCTTCCATCAAGTACACCTCCTCCATTTCCTCCCAAGTCGTGGGTGTGACAGTGGTGGATGGGCTTGGAAACGTTCAAAACGTAACCAACGAGTCTGACCTCCACGCATTCCGAATTCATCTTGGACTTTTGGGCATCGTTGTCCGCATCACTTTAACCACGCATCCGCTCTACAAAACTCTAGCCCATAATTATATCGTGAGTGATTCCGTCCTGATCAACGGTACGGCACAGCAATGGGCCCTAGAGGCGGACCAGATGTCGCTTTACTGGTTCCCCAGTATGAATCAGGTCGTGGTAGCGAATTGGACTATCGTTGATCCCAATACTACGGGAAATGCGTACACCTTTGATCATGTTCCTTCGACTTATGATAATTTCAACATTCTGGGGTCGCAAGTGTTTGAAGAATCTGCTGTATTGACCCAAAATAGATGCTCTGCTGTACGCCAACTTGGTTTTAATACTATCAGCATACTCCAGTCTTACATGCAAACCACCTTGTGGACCACTGTCCCAGACTTTGTTCCAATTTACACTGAAGACGGCGTAACGGTGGTAAATCCTGCAGTTGGTTATTATGATAAAATGTTTGCCCCCGTGTGCAATGATGGCCCAGGAAATGGACCGCTACAATGTGCTTGGGGACATGGAAATGTGCATGCGAACATCACCATTTTGGACAACGAAATCTCCCTGGATCTGAATGACATGCCTCAATTTATCCTGGCTGTCAAAGATATTTTGTCTAAAGCACCTGCTTTATTTCCTATCCAAGGAATTCTCATGCGATTTTCTGCCAGCTCTGATACCTACATGTCTAATTCATACGGAAGAAACTCGGTTCACTTTGAATGGTACTTGGCAAATCGAGTGGACATGTATCAAGATGCAGTTCCCAGCCTTGCTGCCTATCAAACCATGATGCAAACTCTGGTATTTATAAATGCTTATTTAATAAGAAATTACTAGCAGCTTAAAACGGTCTCCTGTTATTACAATGGCGGATTTTAGGTCAAAGGTTTTAATGGGCGGTCACATTGGGGGAAGAGCGGTATGGTTTATCACAGTTCCCCTCTGCTGGAATTGAAACTTGATCCTAATGCTAGAGCCGGATTCATCTGTAACTCATTTTTTCTAAGCTTGAAAGCAACTTTCTTTCATTTGTGCAATGTCTATTGTAAATCCTCCCTTTTCAGCTGCAATGCAGAAATATGACCCAAATGAGGTGTTCCTCAACAATTTCGGCCGTCGTATCAAGAGAATTTCGACAGCTCAAGATACCGATCCCTCCAACGTACACTGTGCCCTTCGTGACGATTGCTTCTGTTCTGTCGCGTCCGATTGTGCATCGTATCAAAAATGCGTCACCCTGCCAGGATACAGCAGTTACAACGTGTGTCAGACCAGTCGAGAACAGCCTCAAACTTTCATCCCATTCCCGAGTTCGCCTTCTTTGGGTGTAATCGACTGGATGAATTCCACCCTTTCGTCATTAACGAACGTGGTGAATGGGCTCCTGACCAGTGTGCAATGTCTGCTAAATGGTTAAAATTATTAAAATGTCACGATGCAAGATTGTTCCTGGTGTATTATTCTTGTTGATAAAATACATATTTGTGGTGTATGTTTGACATTATGGACGAAAATGACGGGGACTTTGATAAAGTTTGCCTTTATAAATTTGCATTCATTACACAATCGAAGTGGCCAATGCCAAGGATTTCTTATATAACCTTCAATTCAAATTTATAAGGAGAAAACTTTCCTCCTTTTCACAACACTCAACTTTCAGTAGAATGAAAAGGGTGGTTGTAGGCATGTTGTAGGAGTAAATATCGATTGCATGGAAATAGACGTAGACGTGTTCATGCCATGAAATTATAATGACCAGATAATCAATGTCCTCGTGCTGAACTTCTTCCTACGTACCTGTCAGTCAGCGGGCATTAAATGGAAGGCTACATAGCCAACAATGAAAGGAGAAAAACTATTTCATGTCGTGCGGTGTCGCCAGCTCGATAAATAAAGCCAAGCAAAGCACCTACAATTATTCTCCGCCGATGACCGATATCTGATAGTGATCTGTAACATTGTCATCAATGTGGCAGATATTGGCCCTACAATGCGAACACTGCTCGGTGAAGGTTAAACAGTGAGGCGTTAAAAAAATAGTACACACGAAATTACGACGAAAGGGTTCAAGTCGCGATCAATCTCTAATAATCAAAATCTTACCACTGTTTGTGCACTTAAAAAAACATGTATCAGTTCAGTCAGCAAGCAAATCATGTAATTTATTTAATCATTATTGGGCGTCAGTCTTCATGGCCGTGACCTATTTTGAAGATCGGCCGATAGATGACGGATTTATAGATTTCAATCGAAATGCGTTCGGGCTGATTAATTCATAAAAATTGAGCATCCTTGATGACACATGTTCATTCAGAAAAATAAGGATCAGAAAAAAGTACAAGCACTGAGACACAAGTTGGTTGAGGCTATTATTAAAAATTTAAGCAATCATTTGCTTCTGAAATTGATTTTCAGTGATAAAGCGACGTTGGAGTTTAATACGTATTTCAATTTCATTCCATATACAAAGTTGTACTTTTTGTATTAAGACCAGAATACTCTTGAAACATTATTGCTTGCGTAGTAATACTTGAGTGAAACGCGATGTGAATGGGACGTGTTATGCTATGCTTTATGAGCACATTTATTGTATTACGGGATTTGAACTTTACCTTTGCAAGGCGTGGAGCAAATTATTTTAGTGTATAAATAACTCCTCAGGGTTGCAGACAAACTCGCCTGTTAATAAATGACGTAAGCACTAGAATGGTATTTGTCAAATCAAGTTTGAAGTCGATGTTGGCTGAACTATGCTCGTCCATCAATGCTCTATTATCCATTATCCTAGCAAAATGCCACATGACGCGAAAACGTTTTCAATAGTTCGCACAATGCAAATTGGGCCGAACCCGATACATATATTTAATACATCAGGATTTTGAAATGTCAACGTAAAACTTCACAGAAGAAACAGAGAGACAGGAAGTAACTTGAGATTTTGTCAATAATTATAAAAATTACGAGCAGGATATGAAGATCATATATACATGCATGCTAGGAAGGAGATTCTCGTTCGAAGTACGTATGTATTTTTTGTACTGTATAACAAAACTAAAATATTTGTCAGTCACTTTTTTTAAAGAAACTTATTTTGCGAAAACATTTGAGAAACTGAACTGATAAAAGATTCGGTTAAGAGTCTGTGGAGTATATAGAATTCAGGAGAAAGAACTATAGAGATATGTATTCGTTTGAAAAAGAGAAAGTCGTTTTTGCATATATACATAATTTCCAAAATCTGGGATTTTAGCTGAACAAAATAAATGTGGAATTTGTAAGCAACTGTCCTCCTGTGTATGTAGCTCAATTTGAAACCATTCCAACCTTCCAAACTGGGGACTGGGGAATTTAGCCAGAAGAGATTCCTAAATATTAACGAGAAGGGATTCCTTCAAAATATTTGTCTTTCTGACCCAACTTCCTTCAACTTGAGGACATACATAAATATACAGATTTGCACATAATAATATGCTTCTCACTTTTACCATGAATAAAGAGAAAACTATTGACTTGATTTACGTACTAGGCTTTAATTTCGTATTTGGTGTCTTTTATAATGAGCATGAAAATTTAATTTGCGTTTAGACCATCTTTTTTGTACGTATGTAACATCTGAATAAAGAGCTATTTGAGCAGGTGCACACATCGGTCGTTATCTGCCTCTCTGCTACCTTATTCCATTGCATCTCAATCCGGTCTAAATCTTATAATGGCTTTGTCTAGCTTAACAATCTGGCTGGGGCTTTTGTTGGTTGCTTGTTATTGGAATTGGGATAAAATGAGAGTGAAAGTGGGACAAGGCAGGCAACAGAATTTCATTTTGTTTTTGAAGAAAGCGACGGGAGCCCAAGTGCTCGAGGGTACGCTTCTCTTCCTCTCAATCCCGATTTGTTTTCCCATCCAATGATGATACCAGCCCCATAACTGTCTCACAACAGTCAGCCCAAATTCACAGGTGATCTGTACATGAAGGTGACTCCATTTTATTTTCTCTGCACGGTACGCATCTGACAAACTTATTTAGCCTCCATGCATATGTACATTTAGAGCTGAGGCGGAGGCTAAAGTTGGATGTAAAGATGCTCTGGTATGAACTACACAACAGGCGTTTGGTCAATTTAAGAAAATACGGATTGTGACATGGACTTTTTCATCTCACGATAAAAAGAAACGGGCTTATTTTTCTAAATCCCGTTGTATTTTATATACATACATGCACACAGTTAGTGCTTGGTTGAACCGTATGTGTATGTCTGGTTGAAGGAAAGAAGGGTTTCACCGTCTGTCACTACGTTGTCTCCTTCCCAGCAATAAACAAAACGAAAAGAAGGGAGGGCTAAATCCCAAACAGCAATGTGGTGGAAGGCAGAATAAAATGACATGATTAAATTAGTATCCCGAAGGAAAAAAGACATTTGCGTCATTCCTTTGGACTCGCTGAGTCACTTTACTTGGTTTAATACCTTGATATTCTGCTGTGTATTTCTCTCTTCCAAAAGTCCGTGGTTCTTCTTTGTCTCTATTTTCTTGTTTGCAATAAATGCCCAAAGATCAATAAGCTCTCATCCAACTCAACTAAACTTTTCGCCAACTCCATCATCAGCTTATCATCCACAATTGAAAACCAAACGAGACCAACCTACTCTGTCGACATACCTGCCACAACCACCACCCTGATGTCGCCGCCTAAACTAACAAACTTTCTCCAACGACCACAAATGAAGTTGCCCAAAGTGTAGGCAATGTCGTAGTCGTCGTCGTGCGTATATTGACTCGTTCAGGGATTAATCCTCCCAAAACTCATCCATTCACTTCAATCAGGAGGGAGCTGCGAGCTAGCTGGAGCAGATTACAGTAGAACAAAGATTGTGTCTGGTGTATCACTCCTTCCCAAATTATTGGACTTTCACTCTCTCTCTTTGCTGTCACAGGGTGGGATTATTTCCTCCAAATTGAAATTCCTTTGCGATGCAAAATTGTAGTAAACAAATCCTATTGTTAAAATGCCTGGACAAATTCATCTTCTTGTCCTTTGCGATGTGCACCCGTTTTTTGTCCCCAGAAAATTAGAGGCAATTACGTGTTAAAACTTGTTAATATGTATGTAGATGAAATGGCTCAAAGCCGCTTTATGCCTGCGGTGATGGACAATAGCACAAAGTCATTGCACTAATACGTAAAGTCGTAATTTTCCAGGATTACGCCTTCCATGTTTGCAATAGGATTATATCCACCGACTCAAAATCAAATTCTTATAAGTGCATAATATTACATTATACATGTAAAAGGTATGTCAGTCAGCTAAGCAATAAAGGAGTCAAATATTGACAAACTTGAATCACGTCTTCACCCCCATAGAAAAACAAGATTAAGTTTTTTCACGTTCGTCCACTGTAAGATGTTGAAGTCTAATAAATGCATACGATTGCCTCAAGTTATGTTGGTTGGAATATTATGGGTCCAGATATTTATATACATTTGCACGGCGTCATAGCTGAAAGACATCCCAGCAACAAATATTGTACGTAGGAGTGCCGAATAATACAACGCCTGAGGAGGGAGCAAGGTGTTATTTTTTGGAATACCTGGTTTGGCAATCTTTAAAATTTTTCATTGCAATTTGAATTGCTTTACCAACGTTAAGTGTTGAACCGCGGAAAATTGGATCCTCTTTGATGGCAACCATTGTACTGAAGTGAAAGACCGTTTACATGCGTTGGCAGACATGTAGTCCATAAAGAGCTGGTGGATGGCCACCACCTCGTACTTTCACCACCAGTTTCTCCACCACTTAAGTCCAATAATCCTCCATACGTGCCATGATAATTTCAGAAAGCTATCCCCCCGTTGTGCTTTTTACCTTATTGCTAACCATACCAACCAACCGAGGAAGCACATGTCATTTCGGTTTACGCCAACACAGTATTATTGTGTTTTTCTCCATTTACTCGAGACGGGTTTAGTCTGCTTAAGACATGACGCTAAAGATGAGAAGATCAAATGTGGGCGGAGGCACACACTAGTTTAGCTGCCGCTTTCTTTTTAATACACATTTTTTGCATTCATCCACGAAAATCTTTCATCCTTCTTTGCGTTCCATTGTGGAGGCTTGGCAAGATAAGATTTACAAATTATGAAATTTTCCAAGCAAGAATGGCTGGCGAGGGAGACAATGAAACGAGATTATTACATGCAAAAGGATACGTCGTGCTCTTCATGGTGGAAACAGTTTCTTGAAATTAAGCGAAACAATTATGTATGCTCTGGCTCAGAATGAGTGGGACTGTATTTAGTGCATATAGTACATAAAAGCAATCTGTGTATATATGCACATCCAGTGGATCAAACGAGATGATATGCAATTCGTTATATAAGAATCGGGCTCATTTCCTTAGTTAAATTAAATTCTCAGCGAAATGAGACCCCGTGCGAACAAAGAAGATGGAGAATCAAGAAGTTCGCTTGGTTGGGTTGGAAATTTTCTTGTGAGTAAAAGAACGTATGCATGGACTCATCTAGAGCCTGACATGTTTTGTATAACACAAGACGTTTAAATTTCATGGAATTTACACGGATTTCTTCTTACAAAACGTTATGATTTTTAATAAACTTTCACAACCTATAATATTTGAACAGCTATGTAGGAAAGCTGTTTTTCACTAAATAGACAAGTGCATGCAATGTGTATAACACATTCATAAAATGTAACAACTGATTTTTTCGTCAAGAAAAGGCATAGTCGAAGATAGTTTAAAAATTTGCACCTTTCGTGGCCTAGACTCCGTAACTCACCTTTTGGCAATGTACTCAGACAGAGGGGCAGAGCAAAACCCTTTGTTCGGGCTAAAAATAGCAAAATTATTGACTCACCGTTAGGTAAGAGAAAGTCTGTTGGACCATCTACCCCGCAACATAATTCGTTGGTCTGAACCCAGTCCCATACTTGAGTGAATTTAGGGTCGGTTCCATATTGAGATTTCAACCTCTGCTTTAAATCAGGTCTTAAATTTAGCTTAATTTTGTCCAAACCTGAAACCAGACAAGCACACACGTAGTTAAAAACGGCATGACAATCATATACATATGAAGCATTGCTAAAAAAGTGAATGGTAAAGTCCTAGTAGAATAACAAATAGATAATTAAATATGACGAAATTCTAACTCCACTTACGAAACGCCCATATGAGGCCCACGAATATATCACCAATCATCAATACCAGGAGGATGGTCCAGTAGGTGTTCAACAGTTTTTGGTTCAGTCTCAACGCTCCTGTGGTTTCGGAAGCAAAACATTTATTATGAATTACATACTACAAATTAGATAAATAGATTCACTTTTATCTTACCCACGCATCCGATCGCTTGTAAAACTCCTAATTGGAGAATTAGAGCAATGTAGGCATAGAGGAAGGTTGGCTGATACAGCTCCACGCCACTGAAATTGATCAACAACTATTAGTTAGCTGCTCGTAATAAGCCAATACAAATTTTAGGCGATGTGACGCATTTTGTGACGAAAAGCATCACTATGAAGAACTAAAGAAAAACGAAGAAAAACTTTCCCACAACTCTTGTGTATACTTGCTGCATACTAAAGATAGCTTATTTTCCAAGCTGTATACTAAATACGTATGTAGTTGTTCTCTATATTACCATTTGACAACTTAATCCTCTCCAAATTCGCAAGTTATTATTAAAGAAACTTCTTCAATGGTAGCTGAACCAATCACAAGTTCCGTAGTTGATGAGAAAATGAGAAGGTGACTAATTGCATTTTATCTACTGCATTTCTGTTCCTTGTACTTGGCAGTTCTTGGCAGTTTGCCCAACTCACAGTCCTATTTGATTTCATTTATCATACCACTTCTTTAAAATAGCTTGAGGCAAGTGGGAAATTAACTTAAAAGTTGTCTATACATTCGCTAACAATTTATAAACAACTGCGAAACAATTTTTTGAACATATATAAAGCTGAAATTAATATATGTACATACATTTTTACTGTAAAATCCTTCTCCACTAAACCTCATGTAGAAGGAGTGATTATGAAAAAAAGTATTAATAAACCCAACTTTTATGCTGTACAGTCTGTCGCTTATTAAGTAAGGCGAGGAAATAAGCAGAAAAGTGTGTGCCAAAACTTTTGTTGCTAAAAGTTAATGGAATGTGATCCGACTGGTAGAATTTCAACTTCAACAAAATAATTATCTCGATTTTCCCTTGCTGCTGTATTGTATTTTCCCAGTCTTTCTCCCAAATGAGTGCATAAATACATAACACGGAAAGCAAGGGGGTAAAATAAAAATAAGAGTTTGAGATGCTGTTGGTTGAAGTAAGTGTTACAAATTTATGAGATTCTGTCCCGTAATCACATTACGTCCAGGAAGAGAAAGTTGGCCGAGGCGGAATTTTATGTAGGTGGCACGGGAGCAACTTTGGTCTACTACGTCATGATGTCACATCAGTCAATCCCTAAAACTGACAACCGCCCGCCCTTCGCATCGTCGTCATAATGGAGTTAAATAGGAGATGGGATTTAGATTCCGTGAGGCGATAGAATTAAGGTGCACACGAATCACTTAATGAGTTTGCTTGAGGTTACGCAAAAATCCTCCATGCTTCGCCGTGGGTTCCGGGTTCTGTTATCGTATCAATAATTGGATGGCATGCCTGGAATTCACAAATTCGAGGTCTTCTTCCGACGATATGGTTCGATACAGACAGAGGAAGTACGAAACTCGAGACGAAAACAGAAAAAAATAAATGTGAATGCGGGGCAAATCTCATCCCAGGAGATTCGGAATGTGATTCCTGTATTCATTTGCATGTGTGGTTCTGTCTGCACAAATCAAATCATAAATTGTTGTTGTGAGGAGTTGACGCTTGCCAAAGAAGCGTGATTTTCTTGTGTCAATATATTTCAAAGTCCTTCTTCTGAGTGCTTTTCAGTGAAAGCGACATAAGCTGTTGGTAATTGGGTGGTACTAAATAATTCAGCCGTTTCATGAATAAACAATGAAGCATAAAAGTTTGGGTTGTATTAGTGGTGAAAATTTAATTAATACTCTTTTAATTGAGGGATTGTGGAGGAGAAATTTGCATAGTTGGAAAGTATCAAGAAATAGCCTAACGCTGCTGTTTGACTGCATTTTTTACGTTGAGTAGTTCGACTACCTCGAAAAGTATTTGACAAGTGATGCTAATTCTCAGATAGATTGGATTGAGCATGGAAACTAAAAATAACCCAGAACCGAGGATGAGAATCAAGGACTCCATAAATTAAAGCAATTGCAAGGTGAACATCACGTGATTTTAGTTTATTTTCAGCTTGATCTGTTTGTGAAAATGGTTATAAAGAATGACTGCTATGTCCTTCTCATCATCGCATCCATGCCTAATTTTTTAAGTTAAATTACTCCGGTTCAGCTTTTCATACCCTTGAATTCCATTACATAATAAACAAAAATGAGACAAGTCACCTGAGGAGGGAAATTCTGGGGTCCACGATAATGGAGAAGGCAATCACTGTAAAGATGAGGGTGGATAGTGCAAGGACAAGGTTGCAGGCGTAGATCCAGAGCCTTTAAAATTGGACAAAAATGATCAGATTAATTTGTAGACTTTAAATACTAGCTAAATACTGACTAATAGTAAGTACTAATATTAACTAATAGTTGTTAGCATAGTTTGGTTAAAGCAATATTGTTTTCCGATTTACCTGTAGTATCTCATGGCATGCTGGTGCAGGGAACAAAGATCCACTGAAAAACAAACAGACTGCTGTCATCTAGGACTTTCATGATCATCTGAAATAGAGAGGCGGTGAAGGGTGAGGGTGGAAGCAGAAGAAGCAATGACTTCAAGTGAAAAGTAAAATCTCCCTTTGTTTGAAATTGCATAGTGCAGAGTAGTATAAAAATGCATACACTTGACATGAGCTGCTGGGTGATTTTTGTCGGAATCATTGCTTTTGAGTCAGCAGCCTGGTGATGCATAACTTACCAAAACTTGGAGCATCAACCAACTGACCCCCTCCTTTCTCCATTCAATCCACCATTGCCACTTTCACTAGCTGCCAACAACAATGGGCACACTCAGGGAGCCACTACAACCAGTGGCCTTCCACTCATCTGCCGTCCGCACTGCTTGCTTTTATTTCACCACCACCATCACCGTCACCACAACCCATCCCACTTTCACCAGCACTCACCACTGACAACCTGCTTTCTCTCTGCTCCTTGTGGTCCCTGTTCAACCAACAACGTTCACTCAGCAGTAAATACCATCACTCGCAGCAGCACCACTTCCAAGTATTTTACCAACCACCCTTTTTGAGGTGATAATTTGTTTTAACAGCTGGAGGACGTCACTCGAGAGAGCAAAATATAAATATAATGACCAGATTTCGAAGCGAGGTTGTCATTTTCAAATGGCTAAGTAGATTTAGTCCACGAGGATGCGAGAGCGAATCTGGTGGATGAATACACGTTCAGCTCGTCATCATAGTGCTTTTCATGTCCTTTGTATCCTGCTGGATGGTTGGACGCTTCGAGTGTTGAGTAAATACATACAACTCAATATTTCTACTTTCCCCTTGTAAAGCCGAGTTTATTTGCAAATGGTCAATTTTTCCTTCGCTCGTGCAACTATTATTGTCACTCACTTTTTTTACATTTTTGGTATAAAATGCAATTTCGTTTTACTGAGAATGTCTCCTTCGTGGCATCGAAATCCTGGATTACACAATTTCTTCATTAATTTAATACGATGAGGAGCAAAGCAAATATGCTTAGCTTGCAACGACGGAGATGATGATGAATATTTTCACGATTTTATTTATGCGCACGTTCTCTGAGTTTTTTTTCGCCTTGCTCCGTTTTTCATTTCCTGTCTCCAATCATCTCCTTAAGGTTCTGAAAATGAAGAAAAGACGGACGACGCTTAGTTTTTGTTGGGAAAAATCTTATTACAAATTTATGTCCTGGGTGTCAACCGACATCCGTAGAAATTTCTTGGCTTTTTAAATATACTTAAATGTGTGGACGCGGGTTATTATGAAAAATGTAGTTTCTGAAAAATAAAAACTTTGATCGTGCTGCAAATTGGCACCTCATCCGTCTTATTATTATGTAGTTTTCGGATTAAAGGAGATGTTTCGTTTAAACAACGCAATACCGACCAGACCGTTCCTCGCCTTGACATTTGCCGAGTTTATTTCTGTTTATTTTACTACTGACTAATCTTATCCAAAGCCAGATCAACACATCCCAAGAGAAGTATGCTTTGTGTCTCGGTAGGCCACACAGCTAGTGAATGAAATAAAGTTGGGTTAGTTAGTGCGTTGGGGATTAGGAGAGGGTACGTCTTCTTGGCATGAAAATAGTCATTAAATCTTTTCCCTTCTTCTTACATGGACTTGGCCAGCAGTTAACAGATATCGCACACGTGACTGTATCTTTCTTTCCCATTCCGCTCACTTTCTCCGACTGTGTCCAGATTTTTTGCACTACTAAACCCACCCGACGAACGTTTCTTTGTACTGAATGCGAGGAAATAAATAAACAAGTCAAAGTATCAGTTTTGCAGGTGCACGAATTGAGGCATTAAACGAGATTTACGAACTACGTTTAGTGAGTTTCACACAATTGCTTGGACGAAAAGCAAAATTATCTAAAAATATTTAATTAATTTTAATTTAATTTAAAATTAAAATTGGGTTGCAATTTTCTAATAATTCAACAGTTTGTAAGTCACCTTATTACAACAATTATCACTTAATAAAAAATGTCAGAAAATAATGTTTATTAGCCAAGTGTTAACTTCTCTCTTGAGTTTGCTTTGATGCTTAAGAAACCTATCACACTTTTATTGTTTGTGCATAACCCACGCACGAAAGTAAAGGTAATAAAACACTGCCAAGAAATTGTTTAGTCTGAAACAATTGGAGAAACGGTAAAAAAAATCCGTGTTTTCTGTGTAATTTTGTAACAACAGTGGAAAACTTTGACATGTACATATCTGCAGTAGCAAGTTGGAATCAAAATATGTTTAAATGGCGTTACAAGATCTCTACCGAATGTATTCGACTCAGGTTTTTCTTGGGTTGTTTTTGTTATTAGAAAACACGGGGAATAAAAAGCCTAATGAACCAAGAAAGGCTCAAACTTAGGAAATGAAGTTCCCATTGAGAACTACGAGGCAAAAATAATTTATTCATCCATTTCAAATACTACAGAGAAAGTCTTTTCGGACTATTTTGCACAAATATCGGCGCTCAATTAAAAAATAAATTAAGTTTTCAGAGCAAAATAAGTAGATGAATAGCCATCGGAAGACCTCGTCCAGATCTGTCTGGTAACGAAATGTTACTTCAGCAATAAGAATTCATTAGCATAACTTAATTATTACATATGGTAAAGTTGTGAATTGATAAATTGTTATTTTTTACGATGGCTGTGCATATTTGACCAAGTTTCGCATGCACTTGAATTGGCGTGGACTGATGGACGTAACAGGCAAAGTCCATGCTCCGTCCAACTATTTTTATCTTTTTATTTTTACTCCAGCTGGAATTATTTGCTTGTCCATCCTTCATTGCTGCTAAATAATCGATATATCAGTGAGCATATAAATCTATTATGTAAGGTGGAAGTGCTAGCAGTGCTTATTTATTTCAAGAACAGCCTCTAACCAAAATTTGCATTTGGTTGATGGATGGCACACCCAGAGACCATCGACTCAATCCTTGCCATCGTTGTTGGCTTTGTTATTTTATTCTGGTTATTTACTCTATTTTTCAGAGCATTGTATTACTCTTGACAAATTAATAGACTGAGTGATGCATCGGGTATTTATGCTGAATTTATGTTGAAGATTGCCGAACCAGAGGATACGTGCACGTCAGTCTGTCTAGTCAAGACCGCATTGATTGACTTTCACCGACATTGATAGAAAATGGTATCTTGTTAATTCAACAAGCAGGTTCGAAGATGAGCGCGATTGGGCACGTAGTTGACTTAGGCCCAACTGCTTTCAATTTTTTTTGAAAATTTCAGAGTTTTAAATTGTTTGTGGGGGTTTCCAACTGTGCTTAAATCTGATTGCAAAAACTTTCAGCTTGATTTACCGAGCAGGGTTATATGTGCATGCTGATTCTACAAGTTGTACTATTAGAATTCATATGATAGTCGAAATGACCAGTAAATTATGGTTTCAGACTCATCTGTACTTATGACTGAATCAGAGCTTTATATTTAGAGTCCTTATACATATATTATTTACTATTGACCGTTCCTTTGTTGTCGGGCATAGAATTATCCTGTTTATTGAATATTGGGATTGAATTGATACTAGATTTCAATCGATTTACTTGAAAAATGATTCATTTTAAAGCATCACTCTGTACAAAAGTAGGATAAGTGGTGGACTGAGATGACTGAAAAGTACGCGTCTATTTGTGCTCTAAACTCAAGGATATTGGATTAGAGAGAAAGCGAGGATGTTGTCCACCGAGACAGCCAGAAGCCAGTTTCTGTGGGATGCACAAGCCAAACAAGTGAACAAGCCATAACACCATTACACTTTGTGCCATGTCTAACTCCACCAAGAGCGGAGTTTCCTCTTCCCGTTATCAGGGGAAAGCAGAAAACTTCCTTCCTTGACTAATTCACCCAAGCCAAACAGACAAACGCTTAAATGTGGAATTGTCCATCTCGTATTTATCCAACTGAATACGAAATGTGCACAAAGACAGCATGGCAGATGTAAAATTTATGTGCTGCAACTACATACATACATCTGCATGCTAAAGATATATTTCCTTCCCATTGCATAACCAATGCGAATATATTTCTAAGTGCTTCGCAATAAATAAATCCACGATTCAAGTTTCGCATATATATTTTTCGCACAATAGGTTTAAAGGTCTCGGAACCAGTTGAAGCTCCAGATAATGCATTAATGAGTTAAATGTCCTGCATTTATGTAGAAATATCTCGTGTGTTGCTTTTATTGTTCGTTGAGTGGACGGAAGCCCTGCGGAAATGGGTCGATTACTCGCCGGGATGCCAAACCGATATTTGACCATGCCCCTTGGTTATAAATCATTGTTGGTTATTTTAAGTACTCTCGTGAAATTCAGTGCTTAATAACATGAGATTGAGTGGTAGTCACAAAGTTTAATAAATGACCACGTCTCTGGCGTAATGCACAACAAAGCATTTCGCAGAACACTTGAGTCGCTTCCTGATGACCATGAAGCACTCACTAGATCCACGAACGACATACGTACGTAGGCACATACGTGGGGGACAAAGTCTGTGTAGCTCTAGCTCTGCCTTTTCAAGTATAAAATGCTCCATTTTCTTTTCCATTTATCTTCATCAGCACAAAGAAAGTAACACTTTCTCCTTTTTATTTTATTTACTTGCACTTCACTGCTGCCCAATCGCCCTTGCTTATTTTGCTTGTACTTTGGCCCCACCAAAGTGGTGCTGGGCATAGCAGTCCGTCTACGTGGATTTGAATGTCTTGCTATCGACCCAAGCAAATGGAATGGCACATTGAATCGGATATTGAATGGGTATTGACTCTTATTATTGCGTATTTATAGCCAGCATGGCCCACCCGTGGCCCACCACCACCGCACTCTCAACAACACGGAGAGAAAGGGGAGAAAGCTGATGGTGGTGGAGTGGAAAGAGCTCCTCATGCTGCGAGTGAATGAGTAGTCGATGCTTTCCTTGTTAAAAATGCATCGTCGTGTCAATCCAAAATCCAAAACCACAAGGACCCCAAAATGTCAACCTCCAGACGCCTAGCTGAAAATCCTCACTTTGCACATTTCACAAATGAATTTGACATACTTGACGCTAGAAATCCTACAAATATTCCGCCGAATTCTGTCCTCTTGAATATTCTCTGGTGGCGGTGGTGGTTACTCAAATTAAGAAAGTCAATCAATAGAATCTGTGATTTAGATTTAGTGGGAAATGGTGAGAGTTTGGCAGAAATCCTTCGTTTATTTCTTTTGGTGTTTATTACTCATAAAAAAAGGGTATCACGTTGTTTTAAAAATGAACAAACCACCGTGATTCAAATAAATCTCAAGACTTTACTTACATCTAATGGATTGACCATGTATCTGCTGCCTGAATGCATTATGCACACTTTACATGTTGGATCTTGTGCATCATGTCGCATGAGTTGGCAAAGTGCTCGATAATGCACATCATAAACGCTGAAAGGAAATCTCAATATAAAGGAGCGGAAATGGAAACTTAGTTGCTTTCCTCCAATCACCTGTCGACCAGATTCTAAAAGTGTACGACATCGCTCGCCATATCCGAGGGGGAAATTTGCCAATATCTATTTGTGTGTATTGTCTCTTGGTTCGTGATGTCGAATTTAGTGAGCTGTCTCTCCTTCTAGAAATATATGTACGTTTTTTAAGGTTTATCGTTTAAATTCAGTCAAGCAAGTATACGAGGATGGATCAAGTTTAGAGACTTTGTGACTTCAAAGACCAGCGTTTGAGTGCTGCACGAGCTAGTGAACATGGACATGAGTGGAGAAAGCATGTTTGGTTATCAAAGCAAAACCTGCCCGACTTTGTGTGTGTGTAAAAGTTATCTGCTAGCGAATCTATAGCTGCAGACCTAAGCGCATCTCAATAATAATGATACCCTTTCGGATATACACTCCTCCCTGCTTTGTGGTGGGAGTGAATGAAGGTGAAAACTGAGGAGGAGAACGTCTCTACTTGTCAAGCCCAGATTTTGATGCCCTTTGAGTAGGCTGTAGTCCTTGGTGAGTGTAGGAAAAGGGAAGGAGGGTTTGATGCCATGTCCAAATTTGCGGCCGCTGCACCCACTCAAAGGCATTATATGCAACCGCTAAAACTATCCTATTAAAA